TTTATTTAACTTATTTACTTATTCATTACTAATTTATTGAAATATAAATAATTCAAAAATCTGTATTTATTCTACCACTGAATCCAAAACTCTATACTGCCAATCTATAGACTGCTTTAGGGACTACAAATTAGTGTTTAGAGCAAACCATATCTACTCTCTACACCCGATCATAAATCAAAATCCAGCTAAAAGCTTTGATGAAATCCGGTACGTCCTTTTCCAACCAAGCCTAGGTGGATCGAGCTTTATAACCTGGAGCTGAGTCTTGCTGAAAGGATCATTCTTATTGACCAGTCTTATTATTCAGTAATTACCGATGCATCTCTATAAAAGGTCCACCAGCAGAAAGTCCTAAGTCATCTTTTAAAATATGCGATATTGTTCTAGATATCTTTATCTCGCGAGATAGAATCTATTGCTTTCTGACAGGATTTCTACAAATTATTTCCCCTACTGGCAATCAAAGTGCCATTTTCGTACAAACATTGCATGGACAGCCAGATCTTTCTGTCACAGAGACAGAGAGGTTTCATTGTTCTTATCAATAGCCCGGTACACAAACATTCGACTACAAACGAATGGAATTTCAAAAATTGTATTTGGCTCCATACCTACTTTGTGTAATGCAAACATAGCGATTCGGTTCTCTTTATAACCGCACTATTTTAATATCATAAATTTTGTTTACTTTTAAGTTTTCACCTAGTCTAGCAGAAACATTATTAAAAAATACTGTAAGTCCATGCGTTTATGACTTTCATTTTCACCATATCAGCTGCTCCTGTATAATAAAAACATTCAACGCTCTCAATCTAAAGGGCACTGAGGATATCTGGGGTATGTCAGTTAGAGTAATAAAAACAGTAATAAACGAAGTTGCTTCACATTTAACTGAAATATTTAATATGAGCATTGATCAAGGTATCTTTCCAGATCTAATGAAAGTGAGTAAAATAATACCGCTATTTAAATCTGGTGACAAAGACAATATATCAAATTTTAGACCTATTTCAATTTTGCCAGTATTTAGTAAGATTTTTGAAAAGATATTACTTACACAAATGTTAGCTCATTTTAATACACATAATTTACTTCATAAACAGCAATTTGGATTTACGAGAGGACGGTCTACCACTGATGCAAGCATTAACTTAGTACAAAGTATTTTCGGTGCCTGGGAAGATTCACAGGATGCCATTGGTGTCTTCTGTGATCTCTCAAAAGCGTTTGATTGCGTCGACCATAGGACCTTATTGCTTAAACTAGAACATTACGGAATTAGAGAAAAGTCCTTAGAACTCATTGGATCATATCTGTGCGATAGAATTCAATTAGACATTAAAGGAAGCAAATAAGGGGTCATATATAAAAATGGGTGTACCCCAGGGTTCTGTCCTCGGCCCATTTCTTTTTCTTGTTTACATAAACGACTTACCATACCAGTTTCAAAATATACTTGACATTGTATTGTTTGCTGATGACACATCACTTATTTTCAAAGTGAAAAGAAATAATAAGGATTTTAGTAATATAAATAATGCTCTTGAAGATATTCTTAACTGGTTTACATCAAATAATCTAGCGCTTAATTCAATGAAAACAAAATGTGTTAAATTCTCTTTACCAAATGTAAAACAAGTAATGACAAATGTTAGTTTGAATGATCATGTTTTGGACTTTGTTGATGAGACTTCTTTTCTTGGTATTGTAATAGATAATAAATTGCAGTGGGGACCACATATATTCACACTGGCCAAAAGACATAGCTCGGCTGCTTTTGCTATCAGAAAAATTAGACAGTTAACTGATACTGCAACAGCGAAGCTAGTGTATTTTAGTTACTTCCATAGTATAATGTCGTATGGTATTATATTGTGGGGCAGGGAGGCTGATGTAGAATCAATTTTTATATTACAAAAAAGAGCAGTTCGTTCAATATATAATTTACCGTGTCGTGAATCTCTTAGAGAACACGTTAAAGAAACAGGTATCCTTACTGTTCCCTCTCAATATATATATGAAAATATAATGTACATTATATTTACGTAAAAACTTAAATTTATTTACAAAGCATAGTCACTTACACGGTTTTAATGCAAGGAATAAAAATAAATTAAATATGCCTAGTTTTCGTCTCAAAAAAGTAAGTACATCTTTCATGGGACATTGTATACGTTTTTATAATAAATTCGATAATGTTTTGAATTTAAATGAAGGGAAATTTAAGATACATGTAAAAAATACACTTTGCGCTAAAGCTTATTATAAAATAAACGACTACTTGAATGACTACAATGCGTGGACTTAATTACTTACTATATATACTTTGAACTTAATTATTTTAACATTTGTTATGAGGTATATAACTTTCTCATTGACATAGATAATGTAATAAACACTAAAGAAACTTATCCTAAATTTTAATGACATATTGTAATTTAAATATTGTAATGGGTGAAAACTGTGATTGGTACAGTTTATGCTGTAAATAATATAAATGACGTAGTGGAGTAACTTGAAACAGTCATGCTCGCTATAAAGTTCAAACTTGTGGCGGCGTGGTGGGCCGGGTCGATGTGCTCCCTCTAATATGGTTGAGTGCAATGATGGCTGGCTCATCCGTCATACTCGTGTACGGGTGCTGCTTGTGGGGACTGGTCTGTTCAGGTTGCGAACACTGATTAGATTTTTTTATTTTTTTTATTTTTCTTTTTTATATAGCATATGCTGGTGGTCACTCTATTCTCCCAAATTTGAATTTAAATGAAATAGTATTATTATAAATATGTACAACATTAAAAAAAAAAACGAGCTTGAGTTTCTTGTCAGTTCTTCTCATCTCGAAATCATTCCGAACTGACGGTAGATTTGACATATCTAAACATACCATGTTAGAGCCATTTTGAAGATTAGTGTAATGTGTGATTTCAGTAGTATAAATGTTATATATATATGTTTTTATACAATGGTTACAAAATATAAAGTTGAAACACTAGTATTTAAAATTAATCGTTCAGTATTTGTTGTACAATACTTAATTTTCTGAAATACAGTCAAAAACAGAATGAATGTCAAAAAAAATATATTAATTTCATTGAATCTGATACAATATATGTTGTTTTGAATGAAATACATATCGATATTTATTGAAGATTAAAACATGTATTTTGTTTTTATACTACAAAATTAGGCATAAAACATAATGAAATATATTAATTTCATTACTGATACAATATATGTTGTTTTGACTGAAATACTCGATATTTATTAAAACAAGTACTCCTGCATAAAACTTTTTTTCTGCAACAACCTTCTAAATAGTTCAAATTCAATTTGGTAACCTATTGCTGTAACCGTTGCCATTGTCGTGAAACACGTGTGATGTAACATTATAAGGTATTGCATTGTCATCCCGGAGGACTAATTCCTGTAATTTAACTGCCTCGCCCTGTAATATAGCTTACAAACCAAGATGCTTTGTGGCTGAAATTGCAACTAATTACAAAGTCTACCTCGGTGTGAAATCAGGCCACCTGTATATTGTGAAGTTACATTGTCTTGCTTGCGTTTCACAAATAACAAGGTACAGGGAACAAATTAAAAGAATCAATAATATTTATGCATATATTTTTGTTTTATCTATAACATTGAAAAAAAAATATGTTTAAGTGACAATTTGCATAATTGAATGAAGTACGAAGGTCAATACACACTACTTCTATGTAGCAATTAAAGAACACATTACAATGCCCATGAGGGTAACTTAATTCTTTCCGTTATCATACATAACTATACTACTCATAGAAGTGGTGTGTGAGACCATCGTGAGATTATTATATTGAATAAATTACAAACTTTAATCCGATCACCTTGCGGTGAATTTACACAGCCTATAGTGATAAAAACCCACTGCCACAATTTAGCAAAGCTCGGTTACATCTCAAATATCTATGATTTATAATCGGAACTAGCTATGACTATCCTATAATCGAGTAATATAATATCGGAACAATTAACTCGCGTCGACACCGTATTAACCTATTGAACAGGCAAATTTAACTTAATTTTATACAGCCTCATATCCACTACCAATTTTATTAGTAAATTTACCGAGGCTGTCACCTTCCCGGCTTAAAGAACAGGAGGGCATTATAATTTACCAAGTGAGGAGTGAGCAATGTGCATAATAATATAACAAACAAGATGACACTATGTCTTGCCATATACTCATTCGTTCTTCCATGTGACACAAGATCAAATGGAATAAAACTCATCAGAACGAGAACCTATTATAGCAGCTTTAATCTCCCTGCTCAGGTACGCAATTCTCATTCGCATTGTCAAGAACTCATTTTTTAAATAACCTATTTTTCTAATTTTTGTACAATTTCTAAAATAAAACTTTAAAGATACAATATAAGTGCAGCAAGCTTTCTACACAATTACTATAATACCAGTCTCATCCACCTTATAGTATTTTTTTTTACTTAATAAGTAATAGATCTTGACAATTGTATTGTTTTCGTATCTATTTTTGACAAAACGATAAGGAATTGCATCCCTGTTACTGGACATATCGACGTAGGAGCACAATTACTGTATAACTAGTATTTCTAACTGTTTTAACAGATATATTAAATATTCATTCATTACTTATAATATTGCTGAATAAACTCATACATAATTTGCTGCCCAAAATCACTTCTAAAAACATTTTCATGTCCATCGCCTAGTGGTTGCAAGCAAGAAATATTTTTACTTGCAACACCGAATATCACTCTACTCAGATATTTTCCAATTACGATTCAGACAGGGAGTCCGATCATTGCGTTACGACATCCAATCGTACAACTCGGCCGACCTCAATGTATTACACTGATAAGTCGAAATACGAGTATCGGTGCTCATTCGTCGCGGCGTCCAAGCGGATCTGATAAGAGTTAAGCCTAATTGACATTACAAAACTAGTGGCACATTAAAAATATTTACATTAAAAATAATTCCACGATATTAATTTCATAGTTTAAAGTGTGACATTAAAATCCAAATACATGCATTAGTTTTATTAATGTAAAATGTGTTTCACATGAATTTGTTATTCAAATTTGTATCATGCAACTGATTTTATTATGTAAACGGGTGTGAAACTAGTATGAACATTTTGCCATAAGCTGCAACTCATAATTTTTATCATCTCTGATAATTGATAGTTCTAGTAAAGTTAATACGACACTAGTTTCATACGTTCCGAGCGTATGAATTAGTTAGGTGGAATAAATTACATCATGTATGAAACTAGTTTCGTAATGTGATTCGGGCTTTAATCCTTAGAGGAAGTGTCCATTGGGCTAGCGGGCTGTAGGATGGCCGGCGCAGTGGAGGCCAGTCGTAGTGGAGCCGCTGGCGGCTCGGGAGGCAACGTTCGAGACGCCTGCGCCTGCACCGCTCCGCTCGCCGTCATGCCCACCATGCCCGCCACGCCCGCCACACCTGTTACGCCCACCACGCCTGCCACTGTTGGCACTGCCGGCTTCACGAACCGATCGCTCGGCCGTCTCGTCTGTAATAAACACATAGTATTTTAATTACACATAGTATTAATTAAACACTTTTCTATTTTAAGTTTTCAAGCAGCCAAATGGAAACAAGCTATCGGCCCATCTGATGCTAAGTGGCACAGTCTCATATGCGTTGTTGTAGTTGTCATTGTAGAGGACTAAGTGTAAATGTTTGTAAGATACCTGATTTTTGTTTTAAAATTGAGTTTAGATATGAGTAAGATAGTATTATATTATTGATTTCAACTTCGCAAACATTCTATAGCTCAAATATAACAAAGTTGTCTGATATAATGTACCTGTGAATTTAGATGCAAAGCAGGTCGAGATAATGGCAGGCCAGCTGCATTCGGAAGCAAAGGCGTCGCATACGGGGACAGCGGCCGTGATCCACCCGGTGAAGAGACGCTGCGTGAACGAGCCTGCACCAATAACATTATTTTGCTAAATTCAATCAACCCATTTCCTAATGTGCAATAGCCACCAATTTCTACCTATATGAGCCCACGCTTTAATACTCATGATCTTTTTATTTTTTTATAAAACAAACACCAAAATTAAGTGTAACTTGTCATATTATACATAGAAAAAAGAGGCAAACATTCTGAAAATTATTGTATTGGTTTCTATTACATTAAATAAGCTAATAATAGTTTGTCTCAAATATCTTGCATGTTCAGACTGACTAGACTCAATTAAAAAGAAAATAAGTGACTGATTTGAACAATTTATTTATTTTATAATGCAATCAACTAGTAAATTGGAAAATAAACTTAACTACTTAATTCACTGGGGCTCAATTGTCCCAGTAAATTAAAATATTATTCTTCAAAAATAACCTTATCACTGCAATTAATTATACTATGTAATATATAACTGTAAGTAATTTTCCTATACAATATTCCTAAAACAAATATTATGAAAAAGCATAAATATCAAATTACTGTTGCTTATAAATAGTAGTAATAGATATATATAAGCAACAGTAATTTGATATATATGCAAGCAAATTTAAAATTAGAAATTCATTTGAAATATTTTAAGTCATTTGATACTGAAAAAATATTATTTTACACAGTAGAATAGAATAGAAAATCATTTATTCAAATACACTTAATTTAAGCACTTTTGAATAGTCATAACATTTTTTTTTATCTACCACTCATCTGTCAAACCTGTCTCATCACAAGAAGAACGAGCAAGACGACTTGTGTGTTGCTCTTTTAAATAATCCTTGTAAGTTTACATTTACAAGTTGAAACGTGTGAATACAAACTACCAACCAGCACAATTTTTTTTTGTGTCAAATATAAATATACAATAATATTAAATCAGTCGTAGTGATAAGAGCATACCTGTCCCTACAAGTAGCACTCGCTCGCGAGTATAACGGATGAGCCAGCTATCACTGCGCTCAACCATATTTTAGGGAGCCCAATGACCCGGCCCACTTTGGCCCGGTCTGGACATTTTAGTGAGCATGACTACTCATTCCACTCGAACACGTCACAGCTACTTAAAATTACTATATGGTAGTTACAGTATTCACACTGTACATGAGGATGCATGCGGCAATCAATACAAAAGCCGCTATGCTATCATATATCAAGAAAGCCGTATGAAAATTTAATTATAACGTTGTCCACAAATAAACTTATTCTTGCTAGTTATTGCTATCATCTATAAATTCATCTATCCTATATTAGGCTTTTTTAACATTTGTTTAATATAAAATTTGAATTGACTCTGTCAGATTTAGCGTAGATTCTGGCAGTTTATTATATAAGTATTCACTACAGACTACATAAATATTGTCACTTACACTTAGGGCTTCATTAAATTGCCTTTCTTCTTCCATTTCCAAAGAGGATTCGCTTTCAGATAGATGTCGACAAAGCGCCTCACGACGCTCTACTTCCTGCTGCAGCTTTCGTTGTAAGCGAACATTTTCCTCTCTGATATGTTTCTCTTCTAAGGCCAACCGGTGCATTTTCTCCTTATTTTCATTTTGCGAAAGTGCTAATTGATTCCTATATTTAAAGATCTCTATTAGTATACCATTTTATAAATAATTGATTGTAAAAATTCATGGTTATTGCATTTATATTACCTTAATTTTACAACTTCCGAGCGCAATGTCTGAATATGACTGCTTAAATTGGATGCTGTATCGCCATTACTAATGTCCCTGGCAAAATTAAGCCTCCATTACTAATTCCGACAAACATATTAATTAAAAATACAATACTATCTGGTCAAGTATTGGTTTTAACAGGGGCACACACTTGACCATATTAGACCGTATTAATTATACTGCATGCAACATTTTATTAAAATATCAGAAATCAAAAGTATAATTAAATTAGTTGACTAGTTTTTGTAAGACTGTAAGACTTTTTGATTCATAACACATAGTGTGTATGACTATAACATTAAGGTTAACATTTATATCTTCATTAAAAGTTTTTAAATATTAAACAAGTAAGTCTTATAAAATTAAAGAGTGTAACGGAAGATCGCAGAAAGTGGCAAGAGCTCCACCGACAAGAGCATAGCTCTTAAATTATGAATTAATAAAGTAAGTGTTATGAATTAATATTTAAAATATATTGTAGTTATTGAATACCATAGATAATTACTTAATGTTAGATGTAGCTAACTGTTAATACACTATAAAGAAAGTACATAAAACTTATTCAATGCAAAATTCACCTAGGACTAGCAGGGTCAGACACAGGTTGATCCAGTCTTATCTGCAGTGAACGTTTTTCCGCCTCTAGCTTATCCATACGCTTCCAAAGCTTATTTACTAAAGCTTCCTGTTCTTGCTCTAAGGTATTTTCTAGTTCAACCTAAAAACAAAATTTATAAGTAAAATATTATATTTATAATAAAATATTAATACTGTAACAAAATATTATTAAATAGATATTCTCTGCAATTTTTTTTCTATGCCTTAGCCTAGTCTTAAGAAACAGAAATCACAAAATACAACTGCTATTCACTCTGGATATAATTTCTGAATGTAACAAAAGAAGACAAGGTAAATCTATACATATAAATAAAATTGGAGTGTCTGTTTGTAATATTGATATAACCGTTTTTTACTACATGCATATTAATACAAATACGGTACATACACCAAAATAACATTTTTTATAATTTTTGCCTGTTCGTCTGTTTGTTCCGGGTAATCTCTGAAATGGCTAAACCGTTTTTGACGAGATTTTTTGGCAGGTAGCTGATGTAATAAGGAGTAACTTAGCCTACTTTTATTTTAGAAAAATAAAGTTAAATTCCACGTAGACGAAGTTGTGGGAACAGCTAGTGTTGCAATATTGGAATAATAGCATGTCCTAGGGTGATTCTTTATTAAAATCAAACAAAATAGTGGAAAATTCAGTTTAATATTTCTCCAGTCAGTCAATATAAGACTATAATTTGCTTCAATAATTTTTTTATAACTATTATTAATAAATTTATTTTATTTTAAATATCAATGTCATATTTAGTGATATGTGATGTTATAAAATAAGTCATATATTTTTTCTCTAAATTGGTATAAACATTTTTTATTTGATTTTAAATATCAATGTCATATTTAGTGATATGTGATGTTATAAAATAGTCTTTTCTCTAAATTGGCTCCAAAAGCTTAATTATAGAAACAACTCCTTAAACTCCTATACTATACAACAACTATTTAATAAATATAAGAAAACAAACCTTTTCTCTTCGAAGTCTTTCCAAATTCGTTTGTTTTGCAAGAGTCTCAGCCTCAAGTTTCTCAATTTTCCTCATTAATTTGTTTACTAGACATTCTTGTTCTTGTTCTAAAGTCTGTTCCAAGCGACATTTCTCTTGGCGTAACTAGATCAACAAATAATTATTTTCATGAATTATTTATCATTTTTAAAACAAACATTTTTAATTCCTGGTAAACTTGCAGCAGTTAGCAAGCTCACTTAACTTCATTTGACTTTATTCTAATCTGCCAGGATAACCCCACCAAAAAGTTAAGTAAGTATTATAATCAATTAAAAAATTGCATGTCAATAACATAAATACATTGAATTATTAAACACAAACTCCCCTGATTATAAATAATTCCACAACCAATTTTAACTATTAAACTGTTTTGTTTACTCTACTACTACTTTCTTCATTTTAAAAAGTTATAAGAAACATAAAACACTATAATAGTAAGTATTGGTGTATACTTTTTAGTTTTTATCAATAAAGGAGAAAATATTTATTTCCACATACATAGAAGAATGAATTCAATTTTGTTAATAAACCTGTTATACAAATGAAAAAGGAGTCATACTTGATTTAATTTTCTGGATAGGTCATTTGTAAGACATTCCTCTTCTCGTTCGTAATGATGAGCTAAAGTTTCTTTCTCTTTCTTTAATGCTTGTATTTTCTTCAGTAATGTATTAGAAATATACTCCTCTTCTTGTTCTGCTTTTGCTTGCTGTAAATAGGTAAATATAATAAATTAAAAATGCCAGTTAGAATACATATGAGGAAGTTTGAAAGTGGCGCGGGTATAGAAAAGTTGTGAGGAAACAGATTGCGCTGGTATGGGCATGTTATGCGAAGGAATGAGGATCATGTTTTATGGAAATTATATAATATGAATTTGGATGGATATATAGGGGGGACGTCTTAAAAAAAGATGGATGGATTGTGTGAATGATGATATGAATAAAAGAAGAGTATGATCGGATATGACGACGGATAGAGAGCAGTGGAAGAGAGTGACATACTGCGCTGATCCAGTATCCGGTAGCCAGTATCCCAAATAATGGGATAAAGGCAAGGTAATGAAAAACTGCCAGTTGAATACCACTCATGCAAGGTGTGTCTGACTGCACAAAATTATTATGACGGAACTGAGTAATCAATAAGTCATACAAAACAAAGTATCAATAGTATCTAAAGTTATCAAATTGATGCAAAATATTAAACATTCCTTAATAATCATTCCTATCTCATTAGTACTGTATCTTTCCCATAAGAAGAAATGTGTACAAAAACATGCCAGCCCAACTAATTAATTACACAGGAGGGTTCTAAAATATAGTGAGGATATAAATACAGACAATTTTACATCTGTACTTTTGCTTTAATCACCACACCAAAATTATTCACATATCCTCATATAAAAAAGTACTCATAGGAAATCTATCTAAAATTAGAACTTTGGAATATGGACAGCCTAAAGGACACATCTTAGCTTTCAATGATTATGGGTTCGAATCCTTGCATTATACAAACATTTGTATTGTGCTAGGAATCAAAACCATACCCATCTGAAGAACATTTTGTATGTATATATAGTATGAACATATTTTAAAAAAAAACTTAAGTATTTATATCAGCACATTAAAACCAATATCAAATAAGTAGTTTGGGACTAGATAGGAGTGTGTGAATTGTCCTGGATTTATTACAAAAGGACAGATATGATATAAGTTTTGTGCTAAAAGGTAAAGAATGTTGCTTGTAATAAATAATGTAGTATATGTTGCATAAACAATATTATGACTCACAATTGAAACTGAAGCCTGTCTCAGGGCACGGTTTTCTTCTTGTAATGACTTCACCCGCAATTTGTATGTATCCAACTCTACTTTCAGAACTCTAAAACATTTATTAAAACAGAAAATTACAATCAGCTTACTTTTGGATATGAGTTTCAAATGTAAATAATTGAATATTATAATATAGAAATAGTATTGATTGGATTATAGATTACTAAATAAATAAATGGAAGTTTGATACATTTATTCTCAAATTGTAATTTATTTATTATTTAACATTAAACAATTCTTAGTTCACACACATTATATTTTTTTATTAGCAATGTATATAACATAAAAAAGTTGTCAAGTGAATACTTTACTAAATACATTACTTAATTAACTTTATTTATAATTAAATCTATTATTTAAACATGCTTTGCTGAATGTACACAATTCTAGACCAGTATATACTAGTCAACATATGTGGACTGCAAAAATTAATAATATATAAACAATGTTGTACCATTCTTTCAATAAAATAAGCTATATTAGAAATACAAGTAAAATAACTTATAGAGATCCAAACAAATGTAAAATTAAAAATAGTGTGGCAATAGCCTCATAATTTACTAAAATCGTAATTTATATATTTACCTACCTATTGCAAAACTAATCATAAATAAATTAGGACCAACCTATTTTGTTGTTGGAGAGATTCAATTCTTTTTTGTAACTGATCACGAGAGACCGTACTGGGAGGTAACATAGCTCCGCCATCAAGAGAGCTTGAATCGCTTTCAGACGCGGAATCTGCCATCTTATTACCTAAAATGTATAATTTCCTAAGAAAGATTCTATGAACATTGATATTTACAAATTTTATAACCAAAATATACCTGGAGAAATCACTGTATCATCCATTTGCACGAGTAATGAGGACAGCCACAAAATGTCATAGAAATAAAATACACAAAAAAATCAAATACGTGTAACTTGTTAAAATATTAAATTTATTACTGCGTTCCAAATTAATACTAGGTGGGAATATTACTTGAAAAATAATTATTGCTAAGACTGAAATCCGAAAAATATTGTTTTCAATTCAATTCAATTCAATCAAATACACTGGTTAGCGGTGGCAGCCTGGCACACAGAACAGACAAACGGTGTTGCCAGATGACTGCCTGGCTTTATTTTTAATTTTGTTAGAAATTCTCCTAAAAATATTAGGTTTATTCTTGCTAAATTTTTTGACAAAAATAGACCTAATGGATGACGACTTTACATTACATTTCAGTTCTCATTTAGGTAATTATATTAACACTTAACTTTGTTTGTATAGTGCTCACTAGATGATATTGTGGAAAATATTCATAGAGCTATCGATTTATTCTTTCTTTTAATTCCTTTCATTTTGTACAATGCTATCTAGTGAGGACTACTAAATTTATTAATTAAAATATCACAATTTTATATACACGGACTGAAATAAACTTTAATAAGGTAATTTTATAAAAAATCTTTTTTATGTTTTGATATTGCCGCTCCTCAATCGACTCCCAGAACTGCAGCTAATCTTCATAAATTTAGGTTCTACGTAATCGTTAAGACTAGAGAAAATAATTATCGAAATTTAACTACTATATTATCACTCACTTTTTTTTGCGGTGTTTGTTACACAACAGTTTTTTTTACTTCCACTGTGTTTTTGTAGAATTGATCAATTGATGATGATAATTTTATTGTTAGCTTTAAATTTGAGTCTACATGAATGTACCATAAAAGCCACAATTCCCGTCAAACCTTTGTTCGTACAAGTTTGTCTATAAAATAGTTGCAATATTTCTTTTGATTTGTGGGGAAAAGGTGTAAATTCAGATATTACTTCTCACTGAAAGTTGGAATAAAAAGGACTTGTATATAGAGCCGTAAAATGTTAATAAATAAAAAAAATAAAAACAGATAATAAATAGAAAAACATGTCAGCACCTCTGGCACTACAGAACTTTACAAGAAAGGATAATCTGTCATTTGGCACTATTATATTGTGTTTCCACTTATCCTGTGTAAAATACTGTGACTAATAGAGTAAGAACAATTAAGTACTTAAATATTAAACTTGGCTATTGAAATAAGCAAGAAGAAACTTTAGTAAATAAGTTCTATTCTGTTTTTAATACACTACTTTACTAAAGTTTAATTGTCATTAATAATTCTGTTTATAAGATAGGCAACATTCTAAAATTAAAAATACTGGCCATATCGGCAACACTACGAAAAAAAAAAATAGTAAAAAAGTGACACACACGCCATAATGTAAATTGCTTCTAGATTTGGCGTTTGAGTTAAAAATTTACATTTTGATGCAAAAAATTCGTTTTTATTATATTTAAAAGGCATTTAAAATGTCCTTACTAAATATTGGTAAGACGTGAAACAATATTCTTAAACTATATTTCACAAATACATCTCATTAAAAAGAACTAGGTTGTATCCGAGTAATCGAAGCCATTTCATTACTTTGGAACTAAACGTTATTATAGATATTTTTCTTCTTGTTTTACTCTTAAATTAACACTTTATAGGTTTTACTGATAATAACGTAAATAGAAATTTATGTGATACACTGGGCTTGGTTTAATGTCGCCATTGAAATTCCTTGTAATCCACGAAATCATACTGGAGTTACACCGTGATCAGGATATATGGCATAATAACTGTCATTTTAACAACCCTTCTTGGTGGTTTTAAAACAACTCTCATAAAATTATATCGATTCTAAAACCAGTGTGTATTGTTTCAAATAGATTAATTATGTTTTAAAGCCGTATGTGTAAAGTTGATATGTTGTAAACAAACCACAACAAGTCTGTCGTATTTTAATCATGAAACATCTGATTTGTATTGGTAGAACATAACAATGACGAATTTATTTTCAAGTAATGTTCACAGTCAAATTTACTTAGAATAAAATAATTTATTCAAATATTACCTACTTTATACTTGTACTTGATCTCTTTTTTCGTTTGTCCCAATTAGTAAATATTTTATGTATTTTTTGTTAACAAAATTAGTTACTAACATTAATGAAATGTGAAATGGCTTTTATTGAATACTAGAGTTAATTTTTTTTTGTTAAATGATATTTGCTGAATGAATTCTCAAATAAACAAACTGCTCTTGGCTAGAACAAGTCTTTTCTATCAAAGTAAAGAGGTGAAATAGTACTAAATTATATAAGCAAACTGACTTTTGATATATGTGATAAAATGTAAATGTAGTAGTTATGGTAATGAGCATAATGTGCAATTCCCATAAATTCATATTATTCTTAATTTGTATACTTTTTTATTTCAGGTTAAGTTAAGTTTAGGCAATGGCTCAGTATTATCAAATAGTTGGACAAGGGCAATCACTAACACTGGAAGATTTACAAAGATATTGCCCAAATATATGCTTGGATGGAATTATAGTAAATCAAGAGGAACAACAATATGCTCATCAGCCGGTAAATGTTAGTTAATTCATTTTCTTTTATGCATTTATTGTTAATAATAGTGATATAGTTTTCACACAGACATCATACAAACATGCTGTACCATGCAGCATGTTCGGATGATATATGTAAATGTGTAAAGATAAAACAATGGTGGTTATTTTTATAACTTAGTGAAATATTTCTGATTTTGTTTTGTGATATTGTGAAAATAGTATCTTGATGTCTCAATTGTCTTACAGGACATGCCGTGTATTGTGTTTCGCTAAAATTAATAAATTATGTACCAATATAATACATTGGGTATTATTATGAAGCTACCTCATAGGAGGATAATAAAACAATTTTTGTCTGAAAAATTAAAGTATCTTGATATTATGATATATATATACAATATACATTGTACTTGTTAATAATAATATACTTATATTAGTTTGTTGTTCTAAAAGAAATAAATTGACTTTAATTAAAAAAAATATTGCAACATTAGATATTTGATTTGCTAATAACAGGGGGTGTTATTGGCAAATGTTATGTATTCCTCAGTCTATATACATAAATTATCAGAAAGCAAACAGGAGGTAGTCATCCATATTTTTTCAGAAATATTTACCAGTAACTGTTTATTCATTATAGCATTTAGTATTATACTTTTCCTTAGGAATTTTACAATGTTATTAATTATTGAATATATTTTTAAGGTTGTTGTTCAGCAAACAGAACCACCGAATGATATTATAGTGAGTGATGGAGTTCAACCACAACTAGTTGTAGGAGATGGCTTACAATATCAACAACAGTATATCATCCGACATGAGCCTCCTCCACCTCCACCACCAAGAGCTGACTTTCAGCAGCAACAACAACAGCAGCAGCAACAACAACAACAGCAGCAACAACAGCAACACCAACAGGCCTTACATAGACATCAGGTGAGTATAGTTTAGCTTAAATATATACATTCTATTTAAATTCATAAACAATGATAAAAAGAGAAAATATTAAACTATTCAATTTAAAAAACCTTTTTAGGCGTATAAAAGAGACATTTTTTAATATAATGGGTCAAAGTGTTCTGCCTTTAATCCTAGAAGCCCAATCATAATAATATCTTAGCTATATGTCAAGAGGGGTTCATTCATTGGTAGTGAAATGTTACTATTATTATAAATTATATTAGTTTTGTAAATCTTATTAATTAATGGAATAAATCTAATGCAAGTTAAGTAAAGAAATTATTGTAAGGCTGTAAAATATGATCAAATTAATGTATTTTTAGTAGTGATACAAGATTAGTTTTGTCCTATTTTATAGCTATATTTGGACTAACAAGGAAATACAAATCATGTTAATATTCAGTGTAATAAACACTGAATATTAACATGATTCTTAAGCATATAACTTCTTTTTTATTTGTTTTATTATGTTACACCTGCTGTTAGTCCAGACACAGTTGCAATTGCATAAACATGTAAGAACATCAGTTTACCATTATTTTTGCAAACTCTCATGTATAAGTCCATCCCCTACAGTATTTTATTTGAATGACAATAAAATTTGATTGAAATATGTTATTGAAATTTATTTATCATAGATTGGGCATCTAAGATTAAATATATGCAATAATAAAAAAATATGAATTCCCAATGTATTTATATATAGTTATAATTAAAATATTTAACTATTTTACTATAATCACCTAATCTGCAGTGCACTAGCTGACAGTGTATATGTGTCCAAGTTAGAAATAATGTGTCCTATCTTATTTTTGTTATAATTTTGTAAATTTTTGCATCCCATTACTAAAACTACATTGAATACTAAAAACTTAATACACTTTCTTTGGCAGATGGGTAAATATAATATAAAAATTTATATTTTTAATTTAAATAAATTGGTCATATTTGTAACATATTTTTTTAAAATAGATTTTGTTAGAATTATATCCAAATCACCAGGATATTTATTTGGAATAGAAAAGTGTTTATTGACTCTTTCAGAAATAAAAGCACCAAACATACAATGCAGGACATAAACACAACAGACACAAAAAAATCTAAATATGATAATAAGTGTCAATGGAGACTAGAACTCAATTGCTGCAGCATATATTCCTGTGCTGATTTTTTGTTGGGTCCACAGTTATATCACAGAGACCACATCTGATCATATATTTTATGATGACAACTCTAACAGTTAATGCACTGCAGATTACATAATTGGATTGCGTCTTAATCCTTCTAGATGGTGTTGTGAATATTTATGGCTTCTGTAAAAAATTATAATAGTAATGTAATCGACATTATAGTGATTTAGAAAATCATTTTAACAAGAAAAAGATTTTTTTCTATACATACATTTATTTATAGGTTTACTACACATCTGATTTACCTGTGGATGCTCAGGTTGTCTTGCAACAAGCACAGCAGATCATTGATGCATCTTTGATGCAACAGTCATCTCCACAGCGCCCCCAACATGTATGTCGGCTGACTAAACATTGTGTATTACATAGTGTACTTTATATGAACAGTAATATTTTATGCACTCAAGCTATAATGTGATAGACTATGAATTGCAGAATCTTACCTATTATTTATGCTTGGCATGGAATCTTTATTAGTTTTATATTATTTCAATAATATATGAGAAAATAGATATAATGTATGAAATATTGTGTAAATTTAATAATGAAGATTTCTAGAAAAATTTAACTGGTGAAAAAGTTTAAATAATCTCAACATTAATGAATTATCTCATTCTATTATATACTACATAATGATTACCATTTATCCTATTGAATTGAATCTTTATTTTATTTATTCAGGATTTTATTATTGCCAAATTATGTTTTTTTTCGATAGGTACTTACTAAAAACTATCAATATTGTTTAATGGAGTCCAATGTATATATAGTGAAAATGGGAATGCTCTTAAGTAGTAAGGTTAATATTTATGTTGCAGACAATTCAGAAAGAGTAAATCTTAATAATTATAAAATCGATTATACTTTGATTCTTTGAACACGAAAGTAATCAAAATTTGCTGCTTTGGATGTCAATTTTATACATTGCGATGATTACATAAATTTTATTGCCCAAATTGAATAAAGCCCCAGCGAAAAATTCCACATAATTAGCGCTGGATTCTGAAAATTATGCTTTTCGTGTAATTCATGACGCTTTTAACTATGTAATATAATAAGTGTGTGACGTAATAACTTTGATGCCGTCATTAACCTCAGTTTAGTGTCGGAATCAAAGTTATTATATCACTAAGTACTATACATAGTCCCTTGGGTATTCTCCTTAACATGTTCACTGGTGATAAATATATAGAGTGAATTCATGTATTTGTCTACAACCATGCGACTGAAATAAAATGCTAATCACACTGCACACAAACAATTATTTTAATTTTAATTTAATTTTAGTTTCTTAACAATTATTTTAATTGTTTATTTCACTTATAAGTTTTTATTTATTTATAAATAATGTTACTGCATAATTATGTGTGGTTATGGAGGGTTTTTAATATTTTCACAAAATATGTGCTGAATTGAAACATTCTATTTTTCATATACTACTATGAGCTGTCTTCAGGAACTCTGAAAATAAATGGAAAATTGAAGGAAAATAGTATTTTTTAAAAAAATATGCGGAATTAAAAAAATAATTTTATTTTCTTATTTGGGCTGAATTATTATCAAATCGTTTTCATGTATTTATCATAATGTGATTATGATCATGGGCTACCCCATGGGCTATACATATAAACAAATTTTACTGTGCCTAGTTTGGTTAACACTGTTCAATTTTGAACTAATATTTTATAGCACAACCAGCAGTAAACATGTTCATGTATAATACTATCATTATCAAATATTTAATACTATTGTGGTTATTAATAATGGAATATCAGAAATCTTCTCCATTTAATTTTAATTATTGCACTATAAAGCTTTCTAAGTAACAGGTGGTGTAAATATTTTGGGTAACACCAGCTACTAACATCATATGTATTTATAAAATATAAATAAAGGGTTTTCATTCATGAACAATACCTACTTTTAAAATGTTGCATGATGTCAAATTAAAATGTATAGAGAAGAATTTAGGATAATTGTCGTACATAAATAATAAATAATAATTGTCATTATTGTTTTGTGGATGTGGTTTGTAGTTGTGTTGCCTGGAAATAAATCTATCTTCCTATTATTTTATTTCTATAAAGTTAAATGTTTGTATCTAATGGTTTCTATATTTCTTTCTAGACCTAAATAGTAATATATGATTACGCACATGCAGAACATATTCCTCATTGAAGGACTACACAATGTTCTCCATACAATTGTTAACCATTATCCTCTACATTATATTAATTCTCAGTTTAATCAGAAAAAAGAGTCCCCAACGTCATAATCAATAGTCTGATTATTTATTTTAATGACGAATTTCATTCAAATCGAATAAACGATAAACTGTGTTTGTATTTGAATTTGAACGTATTTGTATTTGCGACTAAATACTGAATACACACGTTATACACGTTGTATGTTGTGTATGGCAATTTATTTGTTTAGTAAAGTTTTTGTCTCATTATTTTAATAAGTATTTTTATGCCCGTCTTTACATTATTTGAAATGTTTCTTTGAATGATCCCATGCTCTTAAGTTCATTAATCTAATTATTTTAGTTTGTCTTTATTTGTTATCTGTTTACTATTATTATAGCTGTTTGTTGGACCCAATGTCAAACATTGTTCAAATCATTTGTTCAATAGAAAAAGTGTTCTGAAGAAAGTTATCTGAATTTGTGAATAACTATTTTTCAATAAATTATCAGGGTCATGGCTACATCTTGCTTTATTACTTTTCTACATAGACTCTGTCAGAGGCAGAGCCTATTATATAGTCAGGATAAACTGCTCTGCTGCATCGACACATGACCCATAGAAGACACAATATAATTACGCCTATAATTGGGGTCATCGTGTTTGCTACTGCTCATACTAAGACAAGCACTACCTTTCTGTAATATTGATTGTTTGGATGTCATCATTTAATTATAAAATAAAAGTAGTGTCAGAAAATCAGTGGTAATAATTTAATTGTATTTTGTAGCAATTGGTGAGTCCAGCACATGTGTTATCACAACCAACGGTAATACACCCCGCACAACAGCCTCCGCCGCAACCTCCGCCCCCACCACCACAGCATGCCCAACAACAGACTGTGAGTTAAAAACTTCTTCATTTAATGTGTCAATGTAATTAGCCTATAATATTGGAGTCATATACAATTTGAATTTGTTATATGACGATACTTCTTGCCATGAGGATACAACGCGTTTTCATTTTGTTGTTATTTAATAGGGTGTGTCCGAAATTTTAAAATTAATGGTGCATATTGTACTGTACTGTAGTTTTAGTGTAGCGTCTATATGTCGTGCATTTCAGAATCGGTTGATAGGGATGTGTTGGTTTTAAAGTAACTTTTGTGATATAAAGTATATTATTTTAATTAGTCATAATTTTCAATCACCACAGCCTTTTATTGTCAGGTATGAATTTTAACGTCACAACATGAGTTATGATAAAGTAAAGTCGGGTATAATTTTCTTAAAAATTAGGAGAAACATGTTTTGTATTAATTTCATGTCTCAGTAAGTAACAGTTAATTTAATATTTTTGTTCTTAATTTCAGCAGTTGCAACAGCAACAAATACCTCGGGCAACGCCAACACAACTGATTCACTTGCAGCAACAAATGCAACATCAGATACAACAGCAACAGCAATTACAGCACCAGCTACAACAACAACAGCAACACCAGCAACATATGCAGTCACAACCCATTCAACATCAACAAGTTGTTATGCATGCGGCGTATATCAACCAGGCAGTAAGTAGATTATTTTTTGAACAAATCTGCCTATGTTTATTGGTGTAAAAATATTATTACACTCAATACTTTTTAAGGGAACTTTATAAATTTTGATAGTTTAAGCGAAACTAAATAATTAATAAACCAATAGCTGCATTTACGCGCTTTCATGCTGGGAAAGAATATACATGTAAAGATCGATAAACAGAACGAGAAATCTGCGCGGCGATTATTGCCTCCTAAATCTGGGCCGTGCTTTCGCGCGTTTTTGTATATATATAAATAATAGTTAGACGTTAAATGATAAATTGAGTAAATACTTTTAAAAAAAGAAGATAGGACAAGAAGGAGCACTGTTCTCTGTCAAATCAGATGCGCTCCTAATAGATAAACAGGGTTCTAAATTAATATATAATGAATGAACAGTGATATTTGACCATTTTATAGAACATTCTATTATATTATTAAAATACATTTTTTTCTTTTAGTCTATAATTACTTTGTCAAATTGACATAGATTTTTTTCAGAAGGTTTGTAAAATATAAATTTCCGGTATCTAGGTTCTCTCCTCCAAAGCAATGGTGAATTAGACAGGGCCATAAAGCATAGAATTAACGCAGGATGGATGAAGTGGCGGCAGGTTACGGCAACGACGTGTGACTCGCGTGTTCCTCTTAAGCTTAAGGGGAAAATTTACAAGACCATGAACCGGCCTGCTGTCTTGTATGGATCAGAGTGCTGGCCCGTAAAGGCGACGGATGAAAGACGACTGCATGCAACTGAAATGAGAATGTTGAGGTGGATGTGTGGTGTGACAAGAATGGATAAGATAAAGAATGAATACATTAGAAGAAGTATGAAAGTGGCACCGGTGTCAGAGAGGTTGAAGAGTAATCGTCTATCATGGTATGGACATGTAATGCGTAGGAACGAGGATAATATTTTAAGAAAGATGTTACAAATGAATGTGGATGGTTATAAGGGCAGAGGAAGGCCGAAACAGAGATGGATGGACTGTGTGAAAGATGATATGGTAAGAAAGGAAGTAAATAACGCGATGACTGCGAACAGGGATGAATGGAAGCGAAAAACATATTACGCCGACCCCAAATAAATGGGATAAGGAAGAAGCAGATGATGATGATATATGCAATCTGAAGTACAAAAGAATTTTTGTAGAAAATATCTAACTTAAAATTGATAGCGCTGACAATGTTATCTGATTGAACAGAGAATAAGTCCGTAGCGGTTTCTATTGTCGTATGCCTAATCCTTGTTAAAACAAACAGTAAACAATAAACGCATGTTATACAGCACCGCTATCTTCATCACATATAAGTAGTCAAATTCAAACTAAGCAATCATAAATTTTGATTATACTATATACAATACCCTACGTGTCGAGTACAACAGTGGTGATGCGTACAAGTTCAAACTTGTTCAATCACGCATTAGCGAAGATTGCCAAAAAAATATTCAATAATAAATATTATATCATGTCGGATTACAAGGGGGGCCGGGCTACCACGGGTCCACTGTTCTGGTCATTAATAATTCATGAAGTTTGCAACATTTTAGTTGGCAAGTAGTTTTAGTCCTATGTAATCATACTTTTACAGGGAACACCAACTCGACCAGCGCCGCCGAGGGTTCTAAATCAAGCTCTAAGTAGTCCAGGCGGTGTTACACTTGTGCGGACGCCAGTTCGTACTGTTAGACCTCGCCGACCCGCTGCCAGACCTCCTATTGCTAGTTCTCCCATGCAAGGGCCAGCTAGACTCCTCAATACTCAGCATCAGCAGGTATATTTGTAGAAACAAATACATGAAAAACAAGTACTTCTTTTACACTAATGTGACTGTGACTAAATAAGTAAAAGCTCCCCTTTTCACATAGAGCTGTGATTAGTACCTTGCACGAGACTAGCGGTCGTATGAAGTCATCGCTAGTGGCTTGGTTTCCTACGAGCGTACAATGGAAATTATAGTAAAAACATAAAAACATATTTAAATCCGTTGTGAGGTTTACAAAAAGTAAGCTCAGAAACAGACAAATGCAAAGAGTAATATAAATTGAAACGCAGTTACATCGCGTTGATTAGAGAAACCATCGAACGGTATATTTGGTACCAAAATAAAAAATAACTTCAATTTTTAACAAACATGACTGATTATCTGAGGATTCGAAAAAAATCAAATAGGTACCTTGGTTCTTGAGAATCCATATACAATCCATTTTTTTCTTCTGTTTATTCTTTAGTCAGTTCGTTCGTTTCTACTGTATCTGCCTTTTATACGAAAGTCAAGAAAAATTGAAGTGAATAACGGTGTTAATACGTCGAATGCAGGCGCAGGCGAGTACAGCAACGATGGTTAGCGGGCGCGGAGCTACAGGCGTGCTGGGTGTGAGTGTTGGAGCGAATGCGGGTACACATACAGTGGCCGTGGCGAGTAGCGGTGTGGCGGGCGTGGCGGGTGTGGCAGGCGTCGCGGGTGTGGCTGGCGTGGTGGGTGTGACAGGACGCGGTGCTAGACCCCTGAGGCCACCTAGGCCCGCCTCGCCCCGTGTTCTCAATCCTCATGCTGCCCACGCATTACACCGCCCGCCCAGACCCAGGACTCCCCTTCATCAGGTAAATTGAAGTTGATTCAAGTTTAATATTTTAAATTAGAATTATTTTATCATTTAAACTTAATCATCCATTAGCTGATGACAAATTTAATGGAGCATAGGCAGTGAACCTAGGATTCGTGCTATCGACTGCGATTTAAAAAAATATTGGTTTGAAAGTAGTTAATTGTCGTATAATTATCATCAGAATTTTAAGTTTAAATATTTCGAATATTCTATTATTATTTAAACTATAATCATATAAACTCTGCACATTTAAAGAAATATAAAAATAAAGTGAAATACCCTTTTTTATTATAAAATAAGCATATAAATATATATATTATTACACATTATCTATCTTCATTCAGTTATTGCTATAAATTTTAATTGTCAGACTTCTCAATGCAAATGTAATTCAGCTCCTTGTATAATTTATTTACATATTCAAATTAACCAAAGAAAGTACGTCAAAGTCTATCATTAGGTACTTAAGTAAGCGTTGGCCTGATATTACAACAGAAAATAATATTTATTTTAACGAATTATTTGTTATTTATTATTAATGGATTTATATTATTTTAATTTATCCATTAAGTGACGAAAACATTTGTATATAGCATCTAAATTGGGGATCAGAATGATAAGTCCTGCTCCTGAAATTAAGGTTCATTTCCAAAAAAGATTTTATTATGAAAAAATAACTTGTTTGACCGCAATCTCAACTGTTGAATTAGGTGCAGTATGTATGACACCCACACTTTGTACATGGTACGAAACAAACTATGTTGATATGTAAATGGTTTCTTAATATTGGTTACCAATACATTTTTAACGTTTTTTTTAAATTTATATCCATATGCGTATATATATTTGCTGTTCATATTTCAGCCCCAACAACTCCAACAACAGCAACAACAACACCAACTAGCTCAACATATCATTGGTCAACAAGTTCATCAACAGCAATTAAATCAAATTAAACTCACCACCCATCAGGTATTAATAATTATATATAATAATATGTTGCTGCTGTTCATATTTGATCAAGATATTTTATTATATTTAAAAAAATATCTGGATCAAAAATTAACAGCATTAACATATTATTTTTCATAATCAAATTTTGAATCAATTGAATTCATTAGCGCATATTATTTTTAAACAATTAGCATTCCTTAGAAACTGTATTTGGTTTATAATTTAATTAACTGTATAAAGTATATACTTTGTTTAGAAATTAGTCTGTGTGCTCACTTAATTTATATCTCCTATTTATGATTTTAAAATATCCTGACATCTTAGAATGTCTATGTACTTACTTCTTACTGTTTTATAATCTTAAGGTCGCAAGTTTAATCAGTTTTCAGAATTTCATTTTTCAGAAATTTCGAACAGCTTATTAGTTCTTAATTTTGAGTTGAGTAAGCCGACTTGAGAGAGAATAACAATTTCAGATGGCCTTTTTTCAGTAGTTTGATCTTATTTTTGAACTTACTCTTTTGATATTGTTAATGACTTTTATATTGCATGTCAATTATAGTGAATATTTTTTATTTTTACAGCAACAGTTACTTCTAAACCAGCAGAATCAACCACATGGATCACCTGCTCGTATCATCACTCAGCAAGGCACAATTGTTACTCAAAATTTACAAGCTCAGTTAGCACAACATACAGTTGTACAGGCAAGCCAAAATAATGGACCAATATCTGCACAAAACTCATTGCCTACTGTATCACAAAGATCCTCACCTCATCCACAACAAGTAGCACAAGTACAACAGCAAGTGAAAAAAGTTGTAGTACAACCAAATAATGCAAATCACATGGATGACCTAGAAGAAAGTATAACTGCTGCAATAGTATCTAAAAATCTTGTCAATGACAATATGAATACATCTCAACAGTTTCATACACCACCATCAACATTGCGTCAGAATCATGCCAGTGGGTCTATCACACAACAACATCAACAGTTAAACTTCAGTCCTCAACATGGCTATCAACAGCAAGTTACTTACGATCAATCTCTTTTACAACAGCATCCTCAGACTCTTAGCCAATTAATAATGGACGAAGCTATTGATGAAGAAAGATTAGTTACTTTACCTAATGGTCAGAGAATTAGCTTGGCAGATTACCGTAGTAGAATGCAACCAATGCGTCCACAGCAGCATCAACAGTCAAGGTAAAAACAAGTTTTTAGTTACTTTACTTAGTCTTACTGTCTTTTACAGTGATTTCCTCTATAACTTTTGTGGTCTTCTAATGGAATGGGGCACCCATCCGTTCCACTAGTATACACTGGTGGAGCACTAGTGGAGGATGAAAAGTTGGGCATGAGCAGGCCAGGTCAGTTACCGTAACGTCACAAATACAACCGTGTAGAGTTTGAATTGACATACATTGCTAGCAATAATGCACTAGTTCCCATTACTTACTAACAATTCCCTTCTCTATTTTATTAAATAGAGTCACGTAAATCTTATGATTTTTAAATTAGCTTACGACTATCATACTACTTTGGTGCAATTAAAGGAATGTTGAAATATCGACATTATGATGATTGCAAGATTTAATACACCCGCTGTGTTTTGATTTAATTAGAATGGAGTCGAAATTAGAAAGTTATAAAAAAAATATAAACCTCTATATTTTTTGTGTTTTCCAAATTAAATAGATTACACAACCTTTAAACCTATAAAAATAAACCATTACGTCATGACGCTCTGAATAACTTTTTTTAATAAGTCATATTATCATTACAGGGAAACAGGAAGACAAACATTAGTTAGAAGTAAAGAACAACAAAGGCCAGTTCAGCGTGTACCACCTATGCAAACACAACAGACACCTCAACATGGTATATATAGTTTTGTTATCATTTACAATTTGTATACTATGATATTGTATACATAGTATAATAATTGATAACAACTTACAAGGATTATTTAAAAGACACACACAAGTTTCTTGCTCATTCTCCTTGTGATGAGACAGCTTTCCGAATAAGCGGTAGATTAAAAAATTGTTATCTCTATAACAAGAATAACAGCATCCATAATTGTGGATACTATGAAAATGACGATGATGGCATTAGCATTAAATTAATTTTCAGAAAACCCTGATACATCTAGTGGACCTTCAGAACAAACGTCAGAACCTCAGTCTGCAAAAATGTTAATATTTCTTCAAAATGGAGAGCAAAGACTAATTACATTTACACTGCCGAAAGAGAGCTGCACTCTTCAAGAAGTTCTTGAACAGGTATTAGTAATAAGTATAAAATATATATTAGTAATATATTAGTAATATAATATAAAAAATGGGCACACATAAAATTTTATATTGACAACTTAGCTTGTGATAAAAGTGTAGTGATAAATCACACTCAGGCGTGCCTCACAAAATCAAATCTTTTATCATGATTATATTGTATTGGAATGATTTTTTTTACATAAAAGTACCTGACACAAGTACTTTTTGAAAAACCTTATACAGATATTTTTAAATATAACATGATCATTATATAGTGCTCCATGTCACTCTTTTTATTTATGAACAGGATGCTCTCTAGAGTTGTCTCATTGTATTTATTATGTGTAACCTGTATGTTATTATCCCATGCCAATTCATATTATGTGTACAGAATGTTATTTTTCGATTTTATCCATTTGTAAATTCTAAGTAGAAATTTAGATATTTTGTTAATGATATTCTGAACATTCATACAATAGTATATTTTAACCATACTAATAATTTTGAAGCAAATATTATAAAAAATCAGTTTAATTAGAAACAACCTTAAGAATAATAATTATTACAATATATTTCCTTTCAGGTTAATGTACCGTTTTCAGAAGATACTAATATTCAGTGCATGCAAAATACAAGCAGTGAAATAGACTATTTTGTGTCAGTTGGCTCAACAACGAGAATCGAAGAAATGTTAGAGAATCACCCTGTAAGTTTTTTTTTTATTTATTATTATCAAAATAATAATAATATACATTTACAACTGTTAACCCAGCCATACCAAATAGTAATCAAAAGATTGTCAACATTCGAGATGTAGTGATCATAATACCTGACATATCCATATTTAGCTGGATATATTTGAATACAATGTGGCAGAGGTTGAACCTGCCATTGTCTTTCATATTAACTTTCTTTATCATGGTGTTGTGTCTTATATGTGTTATACCATTTTGATTTATAGTGTGGTGTCTCCATCACCATAAAGTTAGTCAGTCATAAAGTTTTCCTTGGTGTAAGAGAGATTCGAACTCAAGATCTACTTCCGGGCAGTAAACCACAAGGCCACAGCGCTCTTTCAAATTAACAAAATCATGTCAATCATCATTAACAATTTCAAATTTAATTTAATTTAATTTATTTCACAGATGTTAGTTGGAGATATAAATAGTAGAAGTTCTCCAAATGTTTTATCTCAACCTCAAAGTAGTGAAGTCTCGACACCTGAGAAATCACAGTGTCCCGACGCAGGTACGTGACTATATAAATAATAATTTCTTTTTTTATTATTTTGAAAGTTAAGTATGTCTAGACGTCTATGCAACAGCAACGGGCAGTATATGCAAACATATACGTCACCCGTTAGAGGCACTTAGAAAGTGGACGTAGTGTAACCGTCAATAATGTGACAAATATTTATTTGTCTTTCTTATGAATTAGTTTCTCCAAGATGTACTGAAGATAAAAAATGTATTATAAGAATGATTGAAAACAAGTCATTATACTATGAACTATTCGAACGTGGCGTATGACATCGCACACGCTGCAACATTTATTAGAGGCGACGCCTTGTGTATATGTGAAAATTAATGAATACAATTGAAGATTATAAAAAAAAATAATATCATTTTCCATAGAGCTGATTGATTTTCCATTGGTATGGGAACATTTTTATTTGTAATTTTTACGTACCTACCACAAAATAAAAATATGCGGAACAATATGTATAATGTTTAATTATAAATGCGTAAAATGTATAATTATATTTTTACTTACAGCACGAAGTAACAGTCCCGAATCTCCAGAACAGCGCTCACCTCCACCTCGATTCGTGGATGGGATGTTAGCTGTTTGCAAATCATGTGGATACACAGGTTACGATTTCAGCCGGTGTCAAAGGTTTGTCGTTCTTTAAATATAAAAATATATCCAATTAAGACTGTTGTAATAATGAATTTAGTAAAGGAGGTAGAATGTAAAATGTCTGACATGTCTGAATGTAATACAGTCATCATCAAGGTACATCAGTCTGACCTATTTCAGCCGCGAAACAGCTTTCTTTGCAATCTGTTCTCTATAGAATACGATTAAACAGTAAAATTATTGGATAAGAGAGGCAGACATATTACTCGTCTGCAATAGCAACACATGTGTGGTATCATGGGTGTCACACGATAACAGGATGTCTGCAGTGCTATTCATGTAGATAGGCGATTACCGCTTACAATCAGGTAGGCGGTCAGCTTGTTTACCATTGATAAGTAGAGCGCTAAATAAACTACATGAAATATAACTGTAGAATAAATTAAGTAATCTTCCGTTTTTATTCTAGATGTAAACGAGTATTTACTGAGGAACCTAAGAGCGTACCAATAGCAAGCAAGAAAGTAGAACAAAAAAAGAAAGATCCAGAGAAACAAATGGAAAAGCAAAGGTAATTTTCATAGACTTACAAATAAATGCCAACTGACACACAAAAACGGCCCTCTTCTTGCGGATGGGGATGCGGGGGATAAAAAGGAATGTTATCATTACGTACTTTATACTGAACTAAGAAAAATCTGTATTGGTAACATACATAGTTGAAAAATCTTTGTAATAGTAATGCATAAAAAGATTTCTAAAGCATCTCTTTAATTATTTTTTGTGATTTGCATGTGAATTAGATTTTTATTATATTCAAACACTTATTATGTGTTTGAATTTAGTCAAGAAATTCAATTACAATTCTTAACGTGATATTTGTCGGGTCGGGTATTAAAAATAAGAAGAATTATAATTATTTTTGCCAATGAGTTATATATTAATCATGTTATGTTGTTTTAGTGCCTGTGCTGAAGGAATAAAATTAAACCTCTTAAAGACGACTATGAAAGCAATTAATAACAAGACCGTAAGTATTGTACTGATTTGCCTGTTTGTAACTGTGATAATTAATTTAAAATGTCGCTTTTATAAGTTATTTATTCATTTTTCGACTACGAGGTAATACCTGATAATTATTTATTTCTGTCTTATAATGCTATTATTTGCAGCTTGTACAGGACAAAAAACCACCGCGAGTAAGGAAACCTAGAGGGAAGCAACCTGATCCAGAACCTGTTATATTAACTCTAAGTTCTGATGAAGAGGATTCCAATAGTTCTTTACTAAGTAATCAGGTGAGATTTACATGAACGAGAACATGTAAGTCTCGTTATAATTTGTGACATGATTTGCCTCCTTATACATCATTATTTATAATGCCAAGTGTATAAATTTAAATGGGATTAAATGGGATTTGGGTGTGTTTCTATTTTTAAAATATAGAAATTTGTAAAATTATCTATAATATCATAAAAATCAGTTTCTTCAAGGGCCTAATATATAATTCTGACTGTATTTGCAATATTATCCACTCAATGTAACATTTTATATTTAAATATGATTGTCATATCAATTAATATTAAACAATTATTTACAAGAATATTTTACGAAAATAAAACAGTCGGTTGAGGTTCAGGTTCCCCATCAATTTACACAATTTGTTTACTATACTTAATACTATAGTATACATAGCAAACATTGTTATGTATATGTATGTATTAAGTATATATTAATGTAGACACATGTCTTCATTACTAATTTTTATTGTAGCATGAGCAATCCATAAACACGAAGGAACCTTCTCTGAGCGAAATTGAAGGTACGCCAGATAGTGGGATTGGTATGGACCATATGGATGGTAAGTTATATTTACATAATTATTTGCTACTAAATATTTTATACATTTTCACATAGTACAAACAAAAATTTTTGTCTGGATATTTACAAAAGTGGCAGTGACCTAAGTAAATGTTTTAGATTACTAATATATATTTTCTGAAATGTAAATAATTTCCTAATATTCGTTCGTCACTCATTGGCTTGCTTAATGAAATATTAGGTGTTTGGCAATACTTGCCACTAAGATCATATAATTGTTGCAAGAAACTTACATTCTAGACTATCTAGTAATAAATTTCACATCGGGACATTCCTGACCAAAGGGAAATAAGTTTAGTGTTGCTTTGATATGTTTTGTATATGATTTACTTATATCTTTTATCTTAGATATTTATTTTCTTTATAAGCTAAGTCCATTCCTTGGATTTATTTTTAGTACGAATTCGTAATCAAACATATACATAGAATTATTTTTGATATAATATTTTAATAAAATAATAACATAAATCACAAGCTGTGATTAATGTTATTATTTTAAAATTAAAATATTAAATATTATTACACTAAACAATTGTACTAGATCTACGCGCGTCTTCATGCGTGAGAACTCATCAGTGGAATTATATTATATAGTATATTGTCTTGAGGTTTTTGAGTTTTGGAATAATTTAACGTTATCGGTACTAAACATTAATATAAAGATATTTTTACTGCCATTATTACTATAAATTTACAGTAAAAATATGAATTAAGGGATTAATGCTTTTCGTGTTTTTTTTTCTAGAAATAACTGTTTTTTTTTCTAATAATAAATGGTTTTTACTCATATTTACTGGTAACACCGATATCAAACTATGTCCGTGAGACGGCGTTAAGTTCGCCATCAGCCACGTTGGATTGAAATATACCGTACGAAATGTAATCACTTATATCTATGAATTACGCTTATTATATATAATAAATGATTATTCAAAAAGGGATGTTTCAGGCGTTCATAGATAACCGTTTGCCATCAAATGGGCCGTATGCTTAGTCTGAATCCAAAATAGTTTTTATGTTCTGTTTTATTCTAGTAGTGTACCCATTGTACAAGTTCTGCTGAGTTTGGGTTTAGATAATGCTGTGTGAATTGTTCTAGGTTATTATGTTATAGAGAATTTTCAAAATCAATAATTTTTATATGAAAAAATATATGCACAATAATCGCCTGTTTCAATTTTTTAATAGGTAAATAAATAGGATTATTTTTCACTCAACCTATCATCAATTACATAGTAGATCTAAATACTAGTGATACTGAAATACACATAATAATGAAAAAAAGTTTAAGAGATCTTATAAAATTTATTACCATACAAATAACATTTGTACATAAATATTAAATGTACAAATGTTAAGTAAATTACAGTATTTCCAAATAGCTTGTGTTTTCTTGTAATAGGAATGCTCATCATCATTATGAAATATAATAAAAAACAAAATAAGCACAATAAAGCAGTCTTTCTGTAACGAAAGAATGCTATAAATGCAAAATAAGTACAATTTGATTTTTTTAATATTTATTACGAATAAAAATTAAATAAAAAGTATATTTAAACCAACTGTTATTAAAAAAAAAAAGCAACATACCCCGCTTTTTATGTTTACGCTTTTCGTTTAAGCATGAATAAACGTTTGTTAGACTTGGTGCGCTTAACCCAAAAGCTTGGCACTATGTTGGCAACATTATTTCTAATCTGTTTTACAAATGTCGTCAATCCTTTATACAAGCATGTTTTAATTTCTATAAATGTGTTAAAATTGTTTTCTTAAACATTGCAAAATGTTTAGGGAAGGATTCAGTACTAACAAAGGTATTTATTAATTTTATTCGAATTTCTCCTGAAGTTTTCGTTTTTATAATACTGCACAGTAATCGCCTGTTTTCTCTACATATTATTTCGGCGTTTTCATTTAATATTTTTCCGTTTTTATATTGTTAATTTGTTTCATTATTATAAATAAAGGACACCAAGGCCTTAGATACGTGTATATAGCGAATTCCTTTAGTTTATTCTACTCTGTAATCAATATATTTATATATAAATTGACTGCGTACGTACTTTAGTCATTGGCATTTTAATTATAATAAAACATAAATACCGTATTGTTTTTAAAACTATTAGTGTTGCGAAACTGAATACTAAATTTTATTCAAAAATGTCACTTATATTTTTATCATTATTACTTATTTAGATTAGATAGTGTTGTAGATATATATACAATATTTTTACAAGCCATCAATAGTCCTTAGATGAATAATTTACATTCATTCAAGCATCACACTTCATGACATTTTAAAAAACTCCTTTAAGCCTATGACTTTATCCCATGGTAACTATCGCACAGTACAATTACTCATGTCCTTCATCCCTAATGCTATGTACAATGTAACAAATATACTTACATCAATTAGAATTATTCTTTTCAGAAATATTCATAATGAAAACTAATTGTCATAACAGTTTGATAGTCTACCGTAAGATGAAATTATTAGGAAAGTTATTACAGGCAATTTTTATAGATCTAAGACAATTAATATTGTTGTTCTAGATGGCAGTAGAGAAGAAATTAATCAACCTACTCCTCAAGGAATTGTTACATCACTCAGTTGTCGGACGATACGAATAGGTTCATATAGGTATACACCAAAGGAAAAGGTATGTAATATAATTACTTTTTACTTTCAACATGTACAGTACCCTATACTATATAAGGTATTTTAATGTGTAACTGATGCTGATAACCTGATAATTTTATATGTTATTATTAGTAATTAATAATAAAAAATAAAAATATTTTTTTCTTATATATTAAAAAATTGTCTTCATATTAGTCTAGTTTAATTGTATGTTTTTATGTTAGAATTATTATTAGTTTTAAAGCTTTATACTACATAGACTAGTGTTTCCATTACTGTCATAATGTATAAAATAAATAGATTATTACGCATTTATTTGTTATCAATAATATGTGTTGTAAAAACTATTTCAAAATATTCAAATGATATTAGCATAACCTCAAATAATTGTTTAATAGAAGATAGATATATAGACAATAACTATTCTTCAGGTGTACATATCACAGAAAGGCGTTAAAATTGTTGCACCTTCATTAAAAAATGAATCCAAAGATGTTGCACTTCAAATCCAATTAAAGGAAGTTGTCCGAATATTAGTACATTTTGGAAAAGGATTACCAGTAATTTTTTTATACACAATGAGCAAATGTGGTGCTTACATAAGGAAAGCATTAGATATGACTGAAGATTCTGGTTTGTATATTATTTTTCACTATTAATGGAGAAAGATAAATTACATATATATTCTGTATGTAATAATAATTCTTATTATCAGGTCCTTATTACAACCCAATGTCAAAAATTGATCCTTATAAAAGGATAACATTATTACCTGAATCAATAACTGAAGAAGCTAAAGCTACATTTAAAACATTATTTGGTAAATTGATGGATGAACTGAATGCTAGGGAGGCTAATGACATATTAGTGAGGACATGTCCCAAAGAGAGTAACAATGTCACAAAAATGACAACTAGATCATTAAGTGCTTCCAGTGCCTCTGGAGCGAAAAGGTATGCTATAGTTATGCAATGAAAGTTCAATATTATATATTTGTTTTTTACTCTAACCTATATTGTAGTTATTATTTTTGTTTCTAGTTCCAACCCAGCTGAAATAAGACAAATACTAATTTATCCACCGGGTAAAGGTGGTATACCGATAAATACCGAGGATTATATGTGCTTAGCACAAGACCAGTTTTTAAATGATGTTATAATAGATTTTTATTTAAAATATTTAGTTCATGATGTGTTAACTCACAGTCAAAGAGAAAGCACTCATATTTTTAGTACATTTTTTTACAAAAGACTAACAACAAAACCCAGTAAGGTAAATAAAAGTTCCAATCCCCATGAATGGGATAGCAGTTTGACTCCTGCACAAAAGAGACATGCTCGGGTTAAAACATGGACGAAGAATGTCAATATATTTGACAAAGACTACATTGTAGTTCCTATTAATGAAAATTGTCACTGGTTTGTGGCAATAATATGTTATCCAAGTTTAGAAGGATGTCGAAGTATGATTGACAATCGTACAGTAAACCCACAGGAAATTAAAAGGAGAGGTAATATCTAATTATTTATTTTTAGTATTTAGGCATTAGTCACAGTTTACTTGCTGAATAGACTTAGCGTTGACTACTGTATCCTTTTGAGTTATATATAAGCCTGATGATGCCTTGTTTAGAGGCGAAACGTGGTAGCGCAATATGGGTGTGGAATCAATAGAGGTCAGAATTACATGACCCGAAGAGAAGAAGTAACACTTCCAGTAGCAGTGGTCAGTTTCGGCACTGAATATTTGTGACCTGACCACATGATAATGGTAGTGGAATTAAAGAAAGTGATCCATTAAGAAATGAAATGTACCTCCACTAAATAACAGCTAATTTGATGAAATAATTTATGTAATTAGTTTGTAACATTGAATTATATACAATTTATATGAAAGTTATACAGCTATAATTTTTACTTTTTTTTACAGAACGAAGATCGTCTATGCAAATAGGGAACACAACTATAACCCCATTAACAAAACAGGAGCAGCTTACATTAAACTGTGATTCTGATAATTTAAGTGAACGAGATGAAGCTGAGGCTGAGGTAATGTTTTATCATCTATCTTAATTGTACCACAATTTTCTTAAAGCAGTGACCACCAAAAAGCTATATAAGAATTGGATGAAAAGCTTTATATATTTGGAAATTCAATATATTTTAAACTATTGTAGATTGTTGTTACAGTACTACGCATAATAACATTTTTAAGTCACCCTAAACAAACACTACATCTTCCAAAAGTCAAATATATTCCATGGATTGCAGCTCTCTATGTTGTCATTTCATTATGTTATTTTAATAGGGATAGTTCAATGTTTTGTTGGTTTACATCTAATTGAATAAATGTCCTAACAAAATAGAAATGGATAAGTTGTTCATAAATATCTATAACCTCTAATATAAAATTTCAGGACAGTGATTTAGATATGCAATGTGATACAGATGAGGAAGAAGTAGAAAAAAGTACTGTTGAAAAGAAACCTGAGATTCCTCTACCTGTTGGGAAGTCAGAACCTATAAAGCAGTGAGTTTTTATTTTAATACAAGAAACAGTTACCCTACAAATATTTAGTTTATAGGTACATTATAACGATTTTTTTTTCACAGACCCTGTATATTAATATTTGATTCGTTGGCTGGAGCATCCAGATCTCGGGTAGTTGCTACATTACGGGACTACCTTACCTGCGAATACCAAGCTAAAGTAAGTTTGTTATAATTTGTTAATTAGTATATAGTTATATAATCATAGATTTTATAATATAATTATATAATAATAAATTTATTATTATAGTAAGTAATAATGTTAAAGTCTGAATCTTTGTAAATTATCTACTTGCGAGTTACTTATCTGTCGTACACTTTACTGCTAAGTGTGATTCAAATATAAACTAATGATGAATATAGAAACTGTTTTCGATATTTCAATATGAATTCCCTGACTGAGGTGGCAACAGCCATTTATAACTTAGGTGTCAACAATTTTAACATTGAATTCATATCGGACAGTGCAGCCGTGCTTAGAATTAGAAAACAGGAAATCTAATAACAAATTGATAAATAATCGAGTACAACTATGCCATGATTAAGATATCATTTTACAATCGAGTAATTATCCAGTGGATAAAAGGGCACCGTGAATCATGGTAATGATGCCATGGATGAGCATCCCAGTTTTACCATTACCATTCTCGCATTTACGAACTTATATTCGTCAGAGATTCACTAAAATACTAAATCATAGATGGAAACAAGCCACGGATATTAAATAATCAAAAGTGATAATAATAATTCCAGTAGTAAAACAACAATTAATAAAACTCGTACTAAACTTATTTGCAAAACCTTAAAATAATGATAGGGACAATGACCGACCAGTCCCCTAAAAAAATCACTTGTACACAATAGGTGCTACAGAAAGTCTTCTTTGTCGGGCTGATTAGTGAGGTCTCACGATAAAACCAGGAGGCTTCTGCGCTCCTGGGAGGAGAATGAGAGAATTTACATTTTCATATAGGAACCGTTTTAATTATGAATGTCTGCATATATATGTCTGTCATTCCATTGGTGAATTAATTCTTAACTTAATTTTCAGATATCTCCACACAAAATCTTCAACAAAGATAATATGAAAGGCAGTTGTCCAAAAATTCCACAACAAAATAATTTCACTGATTGCGGCTTATATTTATTGCAATATGTTGAACAATTTTTTAAGGTAATATATGATTTAATTGCTATATAAAAGGAAAGCTCTTTATTGTTGTGTTATAGATATCATCACATGTTTATGTCCATTACCATATAATAATTTACCATAATGTGTTATATTTTCAGGATCCTGTATTAGATTACTCACTACCTATAAAACAGTTGGCTAACTGGTTTGATGAGATTGTCGTTACGCGGAAAAGAGAGGAAATTTCAAATTTATTAAAGACTTTGATGAATAAATATAACCCAGACTCACATTTGGCATTACCAGACATTACATTCCCTACATTAAATGGTATATTTTATATAATGATTATACTTAAATTAATATCCATACTATTTGTTTTTGTATTTTCATACTACTTTAACTTTTAGGTAAATTAATAGAAACTGAAGATCAACAAGAGGATGGCTCAGATGGTGATAAAAGTACTTCCAGTTCAAGCAAGTTACATAAAACAGACGGCAAAGAACATGAAGGACCAACACTTACTTTTGTTAAGCAAATGTCTACTGGTGATATATTAGTGAAAAGAAATTTTCCTGACTCTTCGGATACTATACATTTAAGGAAAGCAATTAGGCTTTCAAGTGATGCGGAAAATAGATCTATGCTTCAAATAAAGCAGGAATTTATCAAGAAAGTTGATAATGAAAATCAAATATTGATACCCATTAAGATTTCTACTGACGTTGTTAAAGACATTCAAAATAATTTAATAGTTAATAAGAATAATAAAAGTTTGGGTGATAAAAAACATGGTGTACATAATCAAAATGTATCCAATTTAAATTGTATTCGACAGAATGTGAGTGAAAGTGATAGTAATTCATTTCTCAAAACGAGAAGAGTGAACAAACTTGATGATGTTATGAATGAATCGAGTAAAAAATTTAAAAGGAATGAATGTTGAACTGCCTGTCCATATACCATGTCTATTAAATTATTAATTTAATGAAATGTATAGTTGTTTCATGGACTTGTAAATATTAGGTATAAAACATGTGTATTTACTATACTATTTTAAAATGTAAATTTAATTTGTGAATAGCTTGTTCTTTTGTTACTTCTTAGTTAAAAGTTATGATAAGTCGCTAGACAAAGAAATAAAATAAACTTATTAAACATTCGTCGTTAATCGTCTTAGCAATAGCTCAATAACAAAATAATGATGTATTACCAAACCTTTCCTTTGTAGAACTCCTATTTTTTTTTAATATTACGCTATTCTTCTACAGTTTAAACTACTGCAAGTACCTAAGATAGGGTTATTAGAAATCTTACCAGTGACCCTATTGCTAACAATGTACCCCATAACATCGACTTCCATTGGGTTTCCTGTTGAAACCATTGTGGTATGTACTCTACGATGGATGTGTTCATTGATGTCACGTCAGTGAATTACATTATGAAATATTTTAGTAGAAACTGATATAAATCTATTTATTTTGTACTAAACGATTAGTATCCAGAAATGAAGGACTTCCATAAATAGTTAACCTATAGACAGCACTACTGTATCATGATGGAAACAAACTCGACGCAATAGGATTGCTACTGTTGTACAAAGCATATGAAAGTTGCTTTTTCCTGTCGTTTAAACTGCGAGTATCTGGCAGCTCTAGTTAGTGATGCATATTCTCTGATATTGAAACTGGCCAAAAATATTAATTTATATAAATATATACCATTGAGATTCGTTTTTTAATGAATTCAGCTACGATTCTAACACAACATTAATATAAATTAAAATACTATATTAACATATTTGTGAGAATTTGTATAGTAAATATTTGTTTGTTATTAAATAAATTGTAATGTTTATTTGGAACATCTACAATTCTATCTGTTATCCTCACACAATTTTATGTTCCATGCTCCTAAAAAGTAATCGATAAATGCTATATTTTTCGATTACGTATATATTATTTTTATATTTATACAAATCAATATGAACACCTTAGAATATATTCTAATGAAACTATAAATAGTTATTACAAAAAATAGATGATTCTTAGTATTTGTGGTATTACTATATAAATAGTAATGAACAACATCAATAGTTTAATTCAAGAGATAATAGATTAAAATTAATAAAGCTTTGTTAGTATTTTATAGGTATATATTTTTTGTTAACTAATATATCCACAGACACACATAATGTTACACTTAACTATTCTAATCTTAGTCAATGTCGCTGATAATAAATGTGATAGTATTGATAATTATCATTTTTAATATACAAATTTTACATCGATACTTAAATAATATAAAAATATATCGATATAAAAAAATCTATGTATATTTCGTCAACCTTAACAACCTTCTCAAAATAAACTGCTAAAAATTTGAAAAGGAGCAATTCAAATCTTTTAAACAAATTTTGCAAGAAAGCCGATTACAGTTTAGATGAATTCATAGGTGCATCAATGCGGCTCAACACTATCCCGCTAAAACTGGTAACATTATTTGAAAATTTAACATTTAAGTCTGTCAATTTAGTAGTCTGTGATTTTAGTCTCAGAGATTAGAAGACACCAAAATATATATAAACCGTTTTTAAATTCCATTTAATAATTTTACATTATTAGTAATTATTACTGATTTACTACACTGGCTGGAATTGTTCTTTAATGTAAATGCCATTAACCATATAATGACGATATAAGCTAAAATATTTTTTCTATATACAATGGAAAACGAAGAACGTCTTCAGAGAATCAAAGGTATATTAGTAGTTTACTATTTTTATTTATGTACTTATTTCTTATTATTCGTACTTTTCTTCAATAAATCTATTACATATAAAAACTCTTAAGTGTTGATTTTATGGTCGACTCTTTAATATAATAATGATGTAAATTCTATGTGCATTAGAATTTACATCGTTGTTATAGTATGTAATATAGAAGAGACATTATATTTTTAAGGAGGTAACTAAGTCTTGTTGTTAGGTGGAGCATTTCTAGCAGCTGTTGCTGGAATATCAGCCTTTGTTGGTTTCGGTGCTACTTTAGCTGCTGCAAAGAAAACTGACCCAAAATATTTTAGTAAAGGTAAATAAATAATCTTGTATTCATCTTGTGTTCATGTAATAATATTTTTTTTTCAATATAATATTCATACTATTATTATATGAAAGTGTCCATGTCCAGCCTGCATGTTTTTTTCTTTTACAACTAAATGAATCTATTCCTCTGCAGGGATTATATGATTATAATTGGACTATTTATACAAGAGATACAGTTTTTTGCAGGGAAGGGACATCAAAATAAACAATTTTCTTGTCATTTTTTTAACATCATGCAATTAGTCTTTCAGACTATAAACAAATTTGTTGACCGTTGTAAAATCTCTAAATTTTTAGGCATAAACAAGTACAAACCCATGGCACAGAAATCCTATAATGTGTGTTTACAAGCAATGCAATATACAAGGTCATCACAGCTATGTGACAATCACATAGTTAAAAAATTGAACAATCATTAAGTTTATTTTAATTATTTATTAAAATAATTGTTTATATAATTTTTGTTTACAGGGTTACATGGCAGTGCAGAATTTGCTGATGCTGGTGCAATATTGGCATTACGGGCACTTGGTTGGGGTACATTGTATGCTATAACAGGAACTTCTTGTTTATGTTATGGAATATGGAAACTCTCTGGTGCAACAGATGTAATTTATAACATTTTTTAATCTTATTTACCTTATGTTAGGTTACACCTAACTAAATATTTAATTTATATTTGGAAAAACAAGGCTATATATAGAATTGAAGATATAAAATAAGTTTGTTTTCACTTTAAATTATAAAAAATAGTATTTTTATTATAATTTAAAGTGAAAATAAACTTTTTTTATAATATTAATAGATATTTGATAATTACTTTTTATTTGTTAATTTATTATATACATAAAACATCAGGCAGACCAAGTAACATTTATTTTAACATTGACATTCAAACTTGTTTTTTTTACAGTTAAAGGATTTTAGGATAAAAATGGGTAATATACTGCCAGTTCTTCCAAAGAGTGACCCACCACAGTCGAGAACAGAATTTACTGGATTAAATGATTTATTAACATATTTATCAGAAGAATATGGAAAAAAATCAATTAAGGGTAATAAATAATGTAATTAAATTAGTGAATACATAAAAATTATTTATCTGTTATTTAATTAGTTAGATCTTGTTTTAAAATAAACTCTTCCTTATATGCTGGACCAGCATTACAACTTTTTTTACAAGTATATACAACTAGCACACCCCAGTCTATGCTGTTTAAATCTATACCAACATTAATGAAGTTTAGAAGTTGTGGCATCACCTAAAAAGTATAATAATACGATTATGGTCTAGATTATACATAGTTATATACCATAGGCATGAAAATAGACTTACTTGAAGCTCAAATTGTCTTTCTCCATTACAGTATGGACAATTGGGTACATTTATATTATCACAGTTGCCTGTTATCCACAAAGGAACTCCACCTCTTTCATATCGTAACACTTGATCTGGATGTCTTGCCACCCTTTTACTGAATTTTTTAAATACTTTGTCTACAGGAATAGGTGTTGCATATTGTTCTAACTCATTTTCGCTTACATTACTCAAGGTTCCAGCCTTCTTTTCTTGCATTAATTTATTTAATTTCTCCATTTCAATATCAATATTAGTGTTAGGAGAGTCTTCCTATAAGTAATTATCATAACAAAAATATATTATGGATTTAGAGCTGCAAGCACATAGGTTATATGGGTTTCATGTCATGATGGTAGTAACATAGAATTGAGAGAACTTTTGCCTATACAATAAAAAGAGCATATTTCATTTTATATATGTATAGTAGACATTTACATGAACATTTTAGCTTTGGTTAACTGTTAATCACTATTGATAACCAAACTGGATAACTCATAGTACCTTTACAGGGGGGAAGGTGATTGGTAGTAATGTGTATTCATGACCTCATTACTAGCAATGTACCATGTCAGGTTGACCTCCATGTGGTTCCCCCTGGAAATCATAGTGATGAAATCCTGGTGAATTTGTACGATGGGCTAACTGACCTGACCTCATGTTTATCCTATCATCCTCCACTGGTGCCCCACTAGCGTAAACCATTAGCACAGGCGGGTGCACCATTCCATAATCACCCATAAAAAAAAGTACATTTACAAATATGTTGACCTAATTATATTAATTTTATTAATATTTTACTTATTTTGTTATATGGGAAAAAATATACCTACATCGTCTTCTTCATCTACCACCAGCTCCCATTCCTTGAATAAAATAGATTTTCCTGCTTCAGTAACCAAAAAATTGTTTTGTATAGGGTTCTGTAACAGTGTAATATAATATTGATTATTCTAGTACTTTCCCTTTTATTCAATGTTATTTATTCATTAGATACTGAACCATTTAGTAACTAGATAAAATTGTGGTAATTAATTAGAATAAGATTTAAATTGTCTCAAATGGGGCTTTTGCAAATTTGAATAATCCAAAACCATAAAGGTGCAGTCTTACATTTAATTGTGAGCATATTTCTTTATGACCCTTTTGCCAATCAAGGATCTGATGTTTTCGACTACAATAATATGTTTTTTTACATTTTGAACAATGTGATGGTGCTTTAATGCCACAAATATTGCACAATTTTGACCAGTTATCCATTGAAAATTCCTGTAATAAAAAAAATAATTTACATAAAGTAGATCTTAAAAACTTTCGAATACATCTAAGTTCACTAAAATTTATACAAAACATGTCTACTTGGCATGCTAATTACTATTGTAAGGAAGAATTAAACAAACTTCATTTTCATTCTCTTTGTAGGGTTCCGTTTCATAAAATATATTTTCTCGAGTCAGTTGACAACGAAGGACTAAAATATTTTCTGAAGTATTCGTTTTACAACAGGAACCATTTTTACAGATAAAAATGAATATAGTGCGATGGAAGCAGTCTTTTGATTCTTCATAAGGTGCATAGATCTGAAAGAGTTTCAAACTTTTATAACATACCAGAAACTAATCATAGAATAATTTATCTAATAAAAACGAATATTAAACAAAATAATACATGCCTGACATAGAAATATCAATGGATCATTACATATTTTGCAGGTTAGTTTTGTTGGCAATGGTAAGTTCTGTAAATCTAACCATGCCGGTTTACCTCCAACTTTGCTAGGAAAAAATCGAGGGTGAAGAAGCCAACTATTTTTATCTTCCAAAAAACCAATATCTACTTTAGACGAGCTCATTATTATGTTCAAATGGTTTAAATGATAATAGGTACTTGTGTATTATTTTCATAGCATAATCTTTCTTTTCTTATGGCTTATGACATTTGTGTATTTGCCTTGTCTACTTTTTTTTTATTTATTAATGTTTTACGGCTCTGGATATAAGTCCTTTTTTTAGCCCATAAAGGTACTTGCTTTAAAACAAATATCGTACGACGAATTAAAAAATAACTGATAACATCTCGTATATTAGCTATTTGGCACTCGAATCTCATACAACATAGTATTTCAATCAATTTTTGTAAGTTAAAATGTGATAGAATGGAAAATGTTTTGTATAATATGCCAAAATTCGTATTTATTCGTATTTTTTAGTGTCCACGTAAGGTTGTTGTATTTAGATACGATTACAGATTAATGTTTTTCAAATATCAATCCCAATCCTAAGTTCAAGTAAAAAACAAGACGTTCAGATAGGAGTAATCAAAGCCGTAAAGTTATTAAAAAAACTTACTTCTTCATTGACCTAACCTACAAATTATACATAAATAACATCTTGTTCGTAGTTTCTTGTTTAAAAGCAATCATAATGAAGAATAAAAGTAATATATTGGACTTATTTGAAAATACCCGGTTAAATCGAACATACGTAAAAGTATCTGCACCCATGGTTAGATACAGCAAAATTCATTTTAGAACACTTGTGAAGAAGTTAGTTAAACTGTAGTACTTATTTATACTCGCTATTTGATGAAATTACTGAGAAACAAAGACATAAAATTATTTGATACGTTTACGATAAGTTCGGTACATATTGCGAAATATTATACTGACCGACTGACCGGTCTGTTAATTTAATGTTATCAGCAACATCTTCATTTCACTAAATCCTTCATACATAATATACCTAAGTATATTATGTATGAAATGTATTGGTTATAAAAAATGTACAGTAGCTAAGTGGACTTTTCATTAATTAATAGTTATTTAATAACTATTTTGATATGAATATTAAGTAAATGTTAATTTTAGTTATGTCGTAATGGTGGGAACTTTAGTATTTTTAAATTTAAATAATATTCTTTGTTGCAGTTATGGTGTTGACCTTACTTTCAGTCCTATGATCATGGCTGACTCATTCTGTCAGAATGCTAAAGCTCGGGCCAGTGAATTTTCCACCACAGTCAATGACAGCCCACTAATTGTTCAATTTGCCGCTAATACTACAGGTGATTTTTTGGATGCATCAAAATTAGTGTATCCATATGCTGATGGCATTGATTTGAATTGTGGCTGTCCTCAAAAATGGGCTATGAAAGATGGTTATGGATGTGCATTATTATCTAATACACAGACAATTTATGACTTAATGAAAGGTATAAGAAACTGTCTCCCGAATGATTTTACTGTATCAGTAAAAATAAGGATATTGAAAGAATTAAAAAGGTCAATTGAAATGTGTCAGCAATTAGAAAAATGTGGAGTTAGTTTTATAACAGTCCATGGTAGAACTCCTCAACAAAAGAGTAGTGAGGACATTGATATAGATGCTCTGCATCAAGTATGTCAGTCTATAAAAATACCAATTGTTGCTAATGGTGGAGTTAAAACATTGCTGGATGCAGATAATTTATATGGTACATTAAAATGTAATGGAGTGATGGCAGCAAGTGCACTCCTTACAAATCCAGCTTTGTTTAGTGGTGCAAATGTTACACCATTGAGTTGTATTAAACTATGGATGTTGATGAAAGATAAGGACCCCAATATTTCCTTTCAATGTTACCATCACCACTTAGTATTTATGCTTGAGAAAGTATTAACAAAGCAACAAAAAAATATATTTAATCACCTCAGTAGTTTTGAAGCAGTTGATGATTATTTAATTAGTAATATTTTAAATTGCTATACAAGTCCAATAGAATTTGAATATAATTTAGATGAATTTATATCTTGTGAGTATGCTGATGAAATAACATTGAAGCATGTTAGTAAATGTAGACGATGTGGTAAAAGTATTCATTATTGTTTATGTATGAAGTATGATTGTAATAATACAGAAGGAAAATATTTTTCTTCCTATGTTAATGACATTGCACTATGTGATTACACTGGTTTTGATATATTTGATGAAACTGGTTAACAATATTGTTTGATGTTGCAAACTCAACTAACTTTACTTTAAAAAAGTAATATAATGATATAATAAAAGTTTATCTAAAATATGCTTTTTAAAATATTTCTTTCTCCTACTATTTCAATAGCTATATTACATTATCATCATTACAACAATCTATTATCTGTAAATAGATTGTTGTAATGCTGATAAGGGTTGTAATGAGGACTAGTCATCCCATTGTTGGCAAAGCGTCATGTGAGGTCCATTTCCATCCCATTGAGGTATATTTCAATTCCGTATGATGTGTTAACTGACTTGATTAAATAATCATCCTGTGTAAAGTGGCACTCGCCAGTATCCACCGTTACTGCAGGCAGGAGTACACAGTATCACCCATTAATAATAATTATATTTATCTCTCTGCTGGCCACATAATAGGAGGATTTAGCCTATTGTTATCACAGTTACAGATCTTCTCGGTATATATTTTTATCTATTTTTCTTCCGCACCGATACATGTCTGATTTGTTCTGTTAGTGACCTGTTACATCTTGTGTTTTTATAGAAATGATATTTGCTTCCTTACCAACAACAACGTAGCACGAATATAGACGTGGTAAACAGATAGTATTACAGCTTATTTTTAGTGTAACTTTAATCGAATCAATCAAGTCAAAATATATTTATCCATGTAGGTCACAGTAGGTCTATTACAGATTTTTATGATATGTCAGTGTCAAATCTACCTCTGTTCGAAATGCTTTCAAGATGAGAACGACCGGAAAGATACTCAGCTCGTATTCTTTTCAAATATTGTTTCCAATAATACAGGTTCATTTTTAAATTCAAATTTGGGAGAATAGAGTGAGCACCGGCTAATTGTAATTTTGTCAAAAGCAAATACTGTAATCAGTGTTCGTAACACGAACAGACCATTTATAGTATTTTCTGCATAGGCTGTAAATACTATTAATGACCGCAGTAATGGCAGATACACTGACGGTTCATTTGTTGAACCTTAAGTTCCATCAGGAAAGTAGCAATCGTCATCTATATAATGGAAGGCTATGTTTATCATGTTATCCGTCAGGCGGGAGTTGGCCTTCTGCCGCTCCATAGTTCTTCCGCGGGTTCAGAGTCCTCTGCATTCGCCTGCTATCGTCCGGTGAAGCTGTAAAGGCCAGCTGCGGCCAACAACATTAGACTAGTCCGAAAAAAATGTCTTGTATCGCAGGCGTTATATGATGATACTCCTTATGCGTTGACAATAACTCATTATAGGTCCTCATAGCATCTATAACTGCAGATGATGCAGTGACTGCAGATGTAAGTGAGATGAAGAACATTTTCACCAACAGTCTACGTCGGTAAAACATATGTACATAGGTAAAAAGCAGCAATGTAGAAGTAAATTTCTAATTATTCAGATTATAATCATGGTAATAACTATACCGCTAAGCAGTTCTACGTATTTTGTGCATCAACATTAAAGTTTAATTGCCGCATACAAATTAATAATTTACTTCTGTGACACTACATATAATACGTGTTATGCTTAACAGTCTTAACACAACGCTTTAAATGGTCCCTGCACATTAACTGTATCATGACACCGCGTGTTTACATCTTAATAGTGGGAACTCTCTTTAATATAATTTAATTCGTTGTTGGTGAACATGTGAGGTAGAGAAATGAAATGAAAACATTTTATTATTCCTCTCACAGAAAGAATAATTACATAAATTAATATGTACATCAAATATAAAAAGAAAAAACTACATAATTATAATATAGAGGTAACAATGGGCAGCCTTATCGCTAAATAGCGATTTCTTCCAGGCAACCTTATGATGGAGAGGAGTCATTAGACTGTGTCTGGTCGAGGTATAACAATTAGTTATTACAATTTACATATCATATACACATACCTACATATAACTACATAATAATCACTATATATAAAATATACATACATACATATATATGCATATAAATAAATAAAATAATAATATCTATACAATAGTGACGTTACTGTGAAGATAAATTTCGTGAATAATATTTTTTAACGCTCGATTTAAAAGTAGTCAGTGATGTCAATTTACGTATGGGAAGTGGCAGTTCGTTCCATAGTCGGACAGCAAGTACCGTGAAGGACATGTCGTAAAAAGCAGTATGATGTACTGGTGTCCTTAACTGGAGATTCTCCGATGACCTAAGGTTGGCGTTATTAGAGTTATGAAGGAAAACAAACCGCTCCTTCAAATAGTTAGGAGTTGAAGGGTTATAAAGGATATTATGGAGAAGGGAAAGAATGTGAGTATTCCGGCGAAAGCGAATAGGAAGCCACTTGAGTTTAGTGCGAAACCCGGAAACATGATCAAATTTTCGAAGACCGAAAATAAATCTTATAAGAGTATTTTGAAGTCGCTCAAGCTTATTAAGTTGGTCGTCTGTAAGATTAGAGTAACATATATCGGCGTAATCAAGTATGGGATGAAGAAGAGATTGAGATAGCGTAATTTTGGTAGCAATGGGCAGAAAATTGCGCAGCCTCCGTAATGACCCCAACGCTGCAAATACTTTCCTGCTAACTACTTGAATTTGCGGTCTCCAATTAAAAAAGCTATCAATATGAATGCCCAGGATTTTGACAGAACTACTGAAAGGAATTACTTCGTCATTCACTTTAATTTCAGCGATTGTCGACCAGTCGATCCCGTTAATTAGTCTCGAGCTGCCTACTATAATTACTTGAGTTTTTGTAGCATTAATTGTTAATCCAAAAGCTTTACTCCAGTTTGTAATGTGTGTTAAATCACTATTAACTACGGAAATAGCGTCATTGAAGTTTTCTAGTGGAGCCTGATAATAAATTTGTAAGTCGTCTGCATATAGATGGTAGGAAGAAGTTATTAAGTTAGAAATTGAGTTTATAGAAACTGTGAAAAGTAAAGGAGATAAAACGCCACCTTGTGGAACACCGAGAAATATGATTTACGAAATGATTTCTCTACTTTCGATGATAATTTGCAGTTATCTGAAGAAATTTTCAACAATAAATTCGCTGAATCGAATCGCTATATGGACTTATTGTATTTTTTATTGGGTGATTAAGTATGAAAATAAAACCTCCTTGGCCATAAGTATATTTTACTTTTTATTTACGTAATGATTCGATATTCGAAATTTGAAAATTATTATAACAAAAGATTGATACCATAACATGGCGTATTGATAATTCATTTTTTATTTTGTAAATTACTTAATATTAAACACTAGTGGATGAAAGGAAGTGGTATTATTTTATTGGATCCGTTAAACATATTGGTCCTACGAGTCGGAGTATCGAGGACTGACGACAAAAGTAAACCTTTTTTGTAAAGAGTAAATAGCGACGCCATTGTAATTGTGCCGTAAAGATATCGGAACAGTATTGGAATTATTGTTGTGAGTAATAAGTGCTGCTGAACTGTGAGTACATTATACCTACTTAATTATAGAAGAATACAGATTTATTATAATTATTAATTAATACAAGTACGAAATTTATACTACATAAAATTATTTTGTGACTTTCTTACATTTGCAATGGATTCATATATAAAAGTACAACTTGATTTAAATGAGAGAATTAACAAAGCAAAGTCTACATAATTTTAAAAATTCACCAAAGGAGAGACTTTGTTCTTTGGATTATATTAACACTAGATTAGAAGCTTTAGAAGAATTATGGCAAACTTTTACTTCAAAGCATATACAACTTATTGAAAGAACAGACACAAAAGTTTTAAATTCTAGCTCTTATGTCAGTAATAGCATCTATGAGTCCACTGAAGAGTTATATATAGAGTATAAATTTCTACTAAAAGAATGTTTGAGTAAATTAAAGCAGAATAGTATTGAAAATGCAAGTTGTTTCGGACAAAATAATGACAGTAAAGATATTGATTGTAGTTTTAATTTACCCAAAATTTCTATTTTACCATTTTCGGGCAAGTATTCTGAATGGTTTAGCTTCAAAGACCTCTTTATATCGTTAATACACAACAATAAACGTTTAGATGAAGTACAAAAACTACACTACCTAAAGGGATTATTAATTGGGGAAGTTGAGCAACTACTTCGACATGTATCGAACACACATGATAATTATAAAAATTGTTGGGAACAGTTGGAGAGAAGATATAACAACAAAAAATATTTATCGAACTGTATTATGAAACGATTTATGAGTCAGTAAATCATTGGTACTGAGTCAGCCAGTGCATTAAAAAAGTTGCTAGACACTACTAACGAATGTCTTCATGGTCTTAACAATTTGGGTATAGACACTAGTACATGGGATGTGCTTGTAATTTATATATTATGCCAAAAACTGGACGGAGAATCTCGAAAACAATGGGAGCTAAAAATCAGCGAGTTCTCTGAAGAGTTGCCTATATTGAAGCAATTTCAAGCCTTCATAGAAACTAGATTTAGAGCATTTGAGTTTATAGATCCAAAATTGTCTAAGTCCAATGTAGTACATAAGAGTAATATTGTTCATAGTAATCCTAAAGTATATCATACAGCCACACTTATTTGTCCTTACTGTTCTAAAAATCATCGTTTGTCCCATTGTAAAAAGTTCTTTAATGATGAAACAGATACTAGGCGTAATTTCGTTCAATCTCAGGGTTTATGTTTTAATTGTTTAGGTTTAGAGAACTCAGTATTTGCATATCGTCAGATTTCTCGTTGTCGTTTATGCAGGCGGAGGCATCATTCGTTGCTACATCCAAAAAATATTACCAATCATAATTCAACCGACACTACTGGTATTGCTAATCCATCGGTTGAAGAAGACGTCGTAGCACACGCGTCCCATCATCATCGTCTCAAGATGAAGCCACTAGTGTCACAGCCTGTTTTTCGACCTCAAACTGTCAAGTATTACTTGCAACAGCATTAGTAAGCGCACAGTCGAAATCAGGTGATGGTATCATTATATATATATAAGCATTATTACAGGATTAGGGAGTGATCAAGGTCATTCGTTGACCTCTAAGTCTATGGTTTCGGTTACACTACAGTCACTTCTTGATTCCAACTTTACATTTAAAGTACAAGCTTTTGTTTTGAGTAAAGTAACTTCATTCCTTCCTGAAAAGCAAATTATTGTAGATTTATGGTCGGAGTTCTCAAACATAGAACTAGCAGATCCATCATTTCGGAAACTAAACAAAATCGACATTCTTCTTGGAGCTGATGTTTACAGTCAGATTTTGTTAGATGGTGTAATTAAAGGACCTCCAGGTGTACCTATGGCTCAGCGAACTTCGCTTGGCTGGATAATTTCTGGTTCTGTAAATATTGGTTCATCAATAACACAAAATCCAATAGGTATGCACATTTCTCATGTAAATGAAGATGAGTTATTAAAGAGATTTTGGGAATTAGAAGCTGATACTTGTTTAAATTCAAACAAACATTTAACTGACGAAGATATTTACAAACACTACGAAGCGCGATGATTCAGGTAGATACATAGTAAATCTGCCTTTCCGTAGTAATGATCCTAATTGTAAATATGGAAATTCTAAAGATATAGCAATAAAAAGGTTTTTGTATCTGGAAGACAGATTACTGAGAGATTCTGATTTAAAAATGAAATATGCTGATGTTATATCAGAATATATAGAGTTAGGACATATGGAGGAAATACCTATAGATCAATGTAACGATCCTGAAGCAGTCTATTTACCACACCAAGCAGTAGTGCGGGAAAATAGAACTACCACAAAGGTAAGAGTTGTCTTCGATGCGAGTTGTCCTGGTACCAATGGCATCTCATTAAATCAAGATTTATTAATTGGGCCAACTCTTCAGCCAGAATTGCGTCATCTCTTAATGCGTTGGCGTTATTATCCAATATGTCTTGTATCTGACATAGTAAAAATGTATAGACAAATAAAGGAGAAATATACTAATTTTCAACGTTCAGTCTACGCACTTTATCTTGCTTTTCGATATTTACATAAAGTAACATATAATGATGATAGATATTCTATAACTACAGAAAGAGTTATTAATCGGTTTTATATGGATGATATGCTTTTTGGTTGTGTATTTGTTGAAAAAGGTAATGACATCTGTAAACAGATAAATAAATTATTTCAACGAGGAGTATTTGAATTACAGAATTGGAGGTGTAAAGTATTACTGAAAGATTTTGGTGAGGAAAATATAGCTTTAAAAAGAAACAATCAATTAAAGGTAGATAGCTTAATGTTTCTTGGGTTTACTTGGATTCAAAGTAAAGATGCTTTTGAATATTTTACAAAATATTCAAAAGCATCTTTCAACTGAAGATACCTGAAACTAAAAGAAATGTTATATCTGATATTTCTCGTATTTTTGATCTATTGAGATGGTTAGCTCCAGTAATCACCAGAGAAAAAGAAGTAGCAATGGTTATGACGTCAGATACAAGAAACACACACGCTCTTACGAATTCAATCATCTTTTTGTCGTGGCTTTATAGGAGACCTGCAAGGTGGAAAACATTTATAGCGAATTGTGTATCAGAGATATTCACTTTATTGAAACTAAGTCAGTGGGATCATGTTGGTTCAAAATATAATCCTGCTGATTGCGTATCTCGTGGTGTGATGAATTTAGAAAATCAAGACCTATGGAAATATGGTTCTTGGCTGAAAGAGGCAATTATAAATTTTAATAAATCTGTAGGAGAAACTAAATTAAAAGAAAAGAAGATTGAAACACATTTAACACATACCTGTATAAAATAAAGATGAAAAAAGAGCTGATGATGAAATGATCGTGAGATTTTCTTCAATGAATATTGTTGCGTGTTGTTGCACTGTGTCAGAGATATCGTTGTTGTCGTAAACAAAATGTGTTACCACAATTTATATATACTGTAAAAGAAAATACTTTATAAACATGTATTAATAGAACTAAAGAAAACTTACCTTCAAGATAAATTGAAAAACCTGAAAGAAAAGAACAAAATTATAAATAAATTATACTTACCGTCTACATGAATTCATGAAGCTGGAATCAAATATGGAATCTGAAATCGGCCGGTTACAATGTACTAATACGTAAGATACAATGTATTATTTGTTAGAGATACAAATGAAAGATTTCCACACGGAGACCCTTAGTTGATTCTCAAGTATTTACGTCAATCGGTGATATTGTATCAATAATGGAGAGTGATCTTCCTCCTGCAAAATGGCTTTATGGTATTGTTGTTCAAAAGTATCCTGGATTGGACGGTATTACTCGAGTAGTCAGTTTACGATGTAAAAATAATATAATAAAAAGGACTGTCTCAAAACTTTGTTTCTTACCATTGACTAAATAAATATTGTAATATAGTTTAATTGTCTTAAATAAGTGTACTAAAACTTTTTGATTTGAACTACTTGTAACTTTTATTGTTATTTGTTTAGCTATTGTTAACATATTTTATGATAATTTAACATAATTCCAAGTTACATTATATTATTGTTATGTAGTTATGGTCTCATATAAACTCATGGTGGGCGGAATTAAGGATAATTTTGCATATTGTCCTTGTTGGGCGGTATGATTAAGTATGAATATAAAACCTCCTTGGCCATCTAAGTATATTTTACTTTTTATTTACGTAATGATTCGAAATTCGAAATTTGAAAATTATTATAACAAAAGTTTGATACTACAACATGGCGTATTAATAATTCATTTTTTATTTTTTTTATTTTGATAAGTGGTATTATTTTATTGGATCCGTTAAACATTGGGTAATATTGAAATGGTGCACCAGTGCTATACATATATATAAAATGTAGATATATAATATAAAATAATAATGTAAGGTATTTAGATAATATAAATCTTACTGTCTTTCAATGTTTTGAACTTTGTCAGGGTTGTTTTTAAATTTAACCGATTATAAAAAATAAGATAAACGGGAATATAATCTATTGCAGATGTCTGTTATCTATAAATATTCTTTATTGCACTTAAATACATTTGTAAGTATATTAATTACAACTAATGTTAACAAAGGAGGATCAATGATAATGTTTTAAAAAAAAAGGTATAAAGTTTTCCCAAAGTCTACAAATTTCGCATACATTCTGCAGAGTATCTTTCATTCAGTCCTCTGAGTAAAGAAAATTAAAATACTTTAATCTTGTAGGTATACTACCACAATAAATTTCTCTAGAAAATATTTTATATATTGTATATTTTTTTGACACGGATCTCCATAAAGTGGATAGCATTTACAGGGGTTATTAGTAGATAGTCGTAAGTTGAAGTTGGTGTCCGACACTTATAATGTGTGGAGGCAAGCGGGTTCACGTCAGTCCGAAACGGAGACGTCGCAGTTTACGCCAGTGCATATAGTTTACTCGCGCGTTCGGCTAGTTAACACAGATGTGTTCCCGCGCTTTTTCAGTAGTGTTAGTACAAGAAAAATGAATTAATTGGGTATTATATCCATCTTTATTTTTAAGCCGTAAGTAAACGCTTCATTATATTTGCATTAACTAACAGTCGCAAAACAGCGTTATAAATTTTTCATTTATTTACTTTTCAATAATAATAGATATCTATTTGCTGTGAGATTAATATATGATTTAATGAACATTATCTTAAAGTGACCAATATCATTTATATCTTATTTAAAATTTAAATATTGTTTAGGACTTTTTGGATTTGTGCTGCAGCAACGATACACATTTTTCTTTTATAGTATATGTTCCATTTTGTTACCATAGGTTTATGGAAATGTTGATTAAGTATTTATCTAATAAGAATAAAGTAGATACCTACATACTTTTTGACTACAGTGAGAACTATTCTGAACATTGTGTCGAGTCTATCAACATACGAACGATTAAACATGATCCTTAATGATGTATATTTTTATTATACCTAATACCATTCGAAAAAGTCCAAACTAAAAGGGGTTGAATTCCCATTGCCGTGTTCCGACTTCGTTATTTATGTAATTATATATTGTATTCTTTTTAATTTCTTTAGACTCTTTTTATTTACCCATTGATTAAAAAATATTTGTGCAGTGAGAGGTGAGATGCTGTAACGAACGTGGTCTCACCCTGGATATGACTTCCGGTTTCAGTCGAAACAATTGTCGCGTAAGACGAAAACAGTAAGTTCATTATATTGCCATGCAAATTTATAAAGAATATGTATTATACAGATTTATATAGATATATATTATTAGTATATAATACCCACCCCGGTTTCGCACGGGTGTACATATATTATTCATATAAACCTTCCTCTTGAGCAACTCTCTATATATTAAAAAAACGGCTTTGAAATCCGTTGCGTAGTTTTAAAGATTTAAGCATATATAGGGACAGACAGCGACAGCGACTTTGGTTTATACTACATATGTAATGGTAATGAAGAATTATAAAGATAATTATATATAGTAGTATGTTGTCACTTAAATTACTGTGTTTGTAAGTGTATGCAGACTATCTTAATCATAAGATTGAATAAAACTATACGGTAATTGAATAATGATGGATATGAAGAACCATGGAAAAGGAATACACATACATAGTTAATGTAAACCACCAATAAATCCTACATATGTATAGAAAGGTTTTAACTCGTCTTTTCATAAAGATACAGATTTCTTATTTTGTTCCTAATGGTCAAAAAGCAATTGGTTTGCAATGTAAAACCTATAAAGAAAAAATTACTAAAGATTGCTATGAATATAACTTTTAAGAGGTATTTTTTTAGTAGATGATAATGGAATGGTGCACCATCCGCCTGCGCTAACGGTTTACGCTGGCGGGACACCAGTGGAAGATGATAGGATGAGCATGAGGCCAGGTCAGTTAGCCCATCGTGACAAATTGACCAGGAATTTATCACGATGGTTTCCAGGGGGTACCGCGTGGAGGTCAAACTGACATGGTACATTGCTAGCAATGGGGTCACATCAATCCACATTACTACCAATCACTGTTCCCCCAAATTTTAAGAGGTAGGTACGTATAGATAATTTTGTAATGAAGATTCTAGAAAAAAAATTAAACCTGAAGTAATACTAATAATACTATTAATACTGAACCTATACCTAACATGTACCGTTAAGATTATGTAAATAATAAAGCCTCATGTATTTAAAAAGGACATCCTAATTTCCTATAGTTAAAGTATATAGTGCTACTAATATATTATTTTGCGTCTATGTATTATGTTCTTGTTTGGGACACACAAGATTTTTAAACTATAAACTATATAATTTCCGTTCCGATTTAAATTTTCGGTTTACGAAAGACCGAAAATTTAAATCGGAACGCATCCTTACTCAATTTCGATATATAGATATATGCTTAGTTGGGTATTATTTATTTTTCAGCTCATATTTCCCATATAGTTAAAACTATTAGAAAAATATTTGCCTGATTAAAGTTAATTGGTTGCATGCTATCGAAAATCAATTTTAGTTTAGAAAGCAAATAGATACACTTTGTACCTATATCAACTAAATCAATTAGATATGTTTGGGCCGTGTAACATAAAAGTCCTCATTCTCACCGCGGCCCTGTGCAGTGCTGACATGGAAGAATGTGTCACGTATTTATTATCTAAGTGTCTACAGTAGGTAGAAGGAACGGTGAGATGAGACTTCTAATTTTTCTCTTGTTTGATCAGATCTATTTGTTCTACACTTTCACGAGTGGTGCTACTTTAAAAACGTTGACCTGGTAGTAGGTATATGTGTTTTGGTAATTTTGGCTACGAATAAGTGACCAACCGCTCACATCGAGTGCTATAGGATGGATATTGAGGAGAATACGGTAACTCGCGATAGCGCGGCGAATGTTTACAAGCTGTCGAATAATTATCAAAAGTATGCCGCAAACACTGTGTTTACACACGTTCAGGTTAGGCTCCCATATATACCAGTTCACAAACTTCTATGAAATTGTTCAGAAAAAATGCCATGAGTTTATCTAATTTGTTTTGCTAACGGCACTTATTCACGGACTATTAGCAATTATTTTTGATCCCATTTTTGTTGTTTTTGTACACAAATTGACATCGAATTGAAACAGTCTCATGTCCAGACCTAAACTATTTAGTTCCGACGATAATTCATAATAAAGAATACAGAAAATGTTAACTTAATATTACATAAGAAATATGTTTTTCTGTATATTATAGGTACCAACGTACGGTTTAATTTTTTTTATACTACGTAGGTAGCAAACAAGCACACGGCCCATCTGATGGTAAATGGTTACCGTAGTCCATGGACTCCTGAAATATAAGGTGCGTGTTGCCGACCTCAATATTTTATTATATTCATCATCATTCATTAACTACCCTATAGTCTGCTTATATACCTACCTGTTGCACAAACTTTTTATATGTTTATTAATGGTCACCATTGTTTCATGACCACTAAACGAACTTGGGTATACTACCTAAAATATTATGCTACATATAATATGTAAAATATAATTACTATATCTATATCAAATTTGGTGACAGATGTGCGAATGGCTTTCATGTCAGCAGTGGTGCGACGTGCAATTAATCTGTGGTGGTCGCCCGTTTTACGCACACAGAGCGGTGCTGGCTAGTGTTAGCTCATTCCTCAGGGTAAGATAATGAAATTACAATAGCAATAGAAGGATGTTATGTCGGGAAAGCGATAAATATCCTAAATATAAATAACCATATCTTAATAACATAATATGTTTATAGGAAATTCTTCTACCATGTGCCATGGAAGACAGTCCGACTTTTATCGTCTTACCAGATTTCGACGTTGAAGCCATGTCCTCTGTAATCCATTACATTTATAACGGCGAAGTTATTATAAAGAAACAGAAACTAGAAATGTTTATAGATATTGTAAAAGCTATGGAAATTTTTATTGACCATCAATGCTTACAACAGTTACGTGTATGTCTAGGAAATAATAATTTAAATCTATCGCATTACCATGAAAGTAAATGTATTAAAACAAATGATGTGTTTTCACTGAGTAGTGTATACAATAACAACCAACAATATGTTAATTTAAGTAAAGGAGAACCTATTCAGGATATAGACTTGGATTGTTCATTACGTGATTCAAATTCTCGCGATAAGCAAACGGAATGTAAAAATTGGAGGAGACTTCAGCATTCTTTAGAACACTTACCAGCGTCATATGCAGACCGACAAAAGAACACTTTTCTACGTGATTTATTTATCGAGACATATCCTCGAAACGGTAATGTTAACGGTCTAACTCCAAGCGTGCTGGCAATATCAAATGAACGCTATCGTGCTCCGACATCTGTTCTCTTGACGAATGCAAATAGTAAATATCCCAGAACTGGCGACACAGTCTCAGAGATATCCATTAGAACCACCGAGTACGCCGCTTATGCGGCATGTGCAGAGGTCGTACGTTCAAAAAAATATAATAATTTTTATTACGAAATGCATTCAAAAACCAATAATCTCAAAACCAGTTCGACTGATTTAACAAAAAGTTATGATAAGAGTTATTTTTCAAAAATATTTGAATATAATAAGAAAGATTCTCTGAATGGTACATATGCACAAACATCTCTCGTACCAGCAACTCAAATTTTACCAGGAGTTAATGTGTTTTCTTTAGATCTTAGAACAGATAGAGCCGTCACTGATGTCAAATCAAATTCTCATTCAAAGGCACATGACTCACTAAGCCCTACTACTTCTGTGATGAAAAGCAATGAAAATGATTTAGATGAGAATGTATGTTTGATAAATAACAGATTATTGGTGTTAAATCAAGTTATGGAAAGCCCATGGTGTCCTCGATTACCCAAGGACTATAGGCCATTTCGTAAAAAATCACCTGTGAATATGGAAAATAAGAAAATTCAGGTAAGAAGAAAATGTACTTTTGTTAAAGTAGTTTCTAATAGTAATTTACAAATAAATATTAATTTTCAACATTTAAGGATAAGAAAGATACACTAAGCGATGGGAATAACAATATTCAAAATACAAATCAGGTGGAGAACGAAATAACGGTATCACGAATTGTTTTGGATGGCACAGAAGAGTTTAAATGTACAATATGCAGTAAGGTAGATATTTATTAATGGCTTATATATAATGATAATACTTTTATAGATCTAAAGCTAATGTATTATAAGAATTATCTATGTTATAAATAGTTCTACAAAATATTGACTAACTAACTATACCTGCCTATATGAATGAAAGTGGCTCCCGTAATAGCAATGCACTAGATAGAAGATATTCTGTAAAAAGAGGTTCCGTAATATAAAATGGTAAAATTATGCATCCATATTGAATTAGTTGTGACTAATTAATTGATTGCAGTGGGTTTAACGAGCTAATAAATAACACGAATTAATTAGATATATTAATGATCTGTTGTATTCACAATTAACAACATCCTTGTAACAAGAAATGTACTACATTTCATACCTATTTAATTGTTAGTTATAATAGGAAATTTTTTTGTTAGTTATTAATATAGGGTATAAGAAAATATATAGGTACATACAAGATTCTTTAGCCCCTTCACTAATTTAATGTATTTTATAATTTCAGGGATTTGTCAGCAAAGAGCGATTGATCATGCATGCATGTCGACATCCAGACAGACAAACATCCCGGTATACATGTGGGGAATGTGGTAAAAATTTTTCACAATTGCGTAATTTCAAATACCACATGTCAGTACACCGCGGTACTAGAGAATTTGCAGCCACGTGTACCGTCTGCGGAAAGTACTTCAATGACAGAGGATATCTCAGTAGTCACATGAAAATACATAGGTAATAGAACTATTGTTTTTAATTTGAATCTAGATAATAATGATAAAATGATACGTGTGTGTGTGTGTATAAAACGTATGAATACTGGGCAGGTCTGTCTTCTAAGCGAGCAGTGTAATTACTCAGTGGTGTGAGTGATTTTACTCAATAATTGATTAATCTGAAGTTACTATAAATTAAAAATTTTGTTATAAATTCAGTATAAAACAAATATTGAAGAAAAATATGCATAGGTATATTATTATTATATATAGTAAAACTATTAGCTCATTCGTATAAAACCATAAATGACGATGCTTTGAAACAGTGGATTTATATTTCTATCTTAGTTTTAGGCACATCTTATATGTGGTTTTACGATTGTCAATATTGTACACATTAGGTATATAAAGGAGATATTTACCGGTTAAGACGCTATTACCCGGTTAATAACTCTGTTACATAATATGTACAATGGTAAACAACCCCGAGAAACAGTAATTATAAACATATATGTTTTTAAGAAACAAACAGATAAAAATAGTGTATACATAGATAGTGTGTAAGAAATCTTACAGACAGTATTACAATTACATAATTATATCTTTATATAATCACTTTCTGTCTGCACGCTGTGTTTTGCCATAAAGAACAAAATAAATTGCTCGAATATTAAGTGTTTGTATAGCTCACATAACCATAAGATTTTAAAATAATTTCTTATGGTTATGTGAGCTGTCCTTAAAACAATCCTTTATTGGTGTACATTACAGGAATCGTAAGGAGTATAAATGCACTATGTGTCCTAAGTCTTTCAATCAACGCGTTGCATACAACATGCATGTCAGGATACATACAGGTGAAAACTTATATCTCAGAATTTATTGTCTGTAGTGTAGAATTCACAATTCTTGTTTGTTAAATTTTTGGTAATTTAAGCAATGGAATCGTCATGCCATGTTTAATATAAAAGCTATTTTTAGTGTTTCGAGAAGATATAAAAATAACATTTTGATTTCAAGTTCGGGGAGCAATGTAAAGACGAACTGAGTTTAAATTGTATAATTTTTAAGCGCCTCGGTGGTCTCGTTTTAGGACACCGTATTACTTCCGATTTTCGCGGTTTGATTCCAAGCTCAGGTGCACACATGTATTCATGAATATAATTGTTTGTGTCGGTCTGTGTGTTTTCTATGTATAAAAATATTTTAAAAAATGTAGTTAAGTATTTTTAACAGTTGTCTAGTACCCATAAGACAAGTTCTGCTTAGCAAGGGGCTATATGGAGCTGTGTGAATCGACCTAAGTTATTATTATTTTTATTTTAATATACTGAATATCGTGTTTAGTGACGTATGTAGTCCATGACAACCTTTTCTACGTATAATAATAATAAGTAAACTTCTTTATTATGTTCATGAAAAGGTGTAAAGCCGCACGTATGCGATCAGTGTGGCAAGGCTTTTTCCCGCAAGATGTTGCTGAAGCAGCACCAGCGTACACACTCGGGCGAGCGGCCATATGCTTGTTCTTATTGTGACAAGCGCTTCGCTGATAGGTCCAATATGACCCTCCACTTGAGACTGCATACCGGTCAGTATAATTTATTTATTTACCATGATTAGTCACTAGATTAGACTAGTCACTCATGTCTAGACTACAAAACGTTATTAACTACCAAAGAAAAATCGTAAGAAAAATAGTTAGCTGCATACTTAATTTCTTTATGAAACTAGAATACCTAACTTAAAGGGACGAGTCATAGAAAAAGTAAACTGTTGCTTTTAGACATTACTAGAATCACAAAATATTTATCTACATTGAGGACTGACCTTGACACTTCATACGCTTTATACTCTTTAAATAGGAACATTATATATTTTTAATATTACAAATTACATTTTTTCATATTAAGGCCCCGTACGTATTAATTTGTATAAAGGAACTTTATTTAACAATAAATAAAAAGAGTAAATATCTCTAATATATTATTTATCCAGAGAGGGAAGGGATTAGATTAGTGTTAGTAAAGGGTATAAGGGTAAGACTAGTGGTTGCATTACGCTAGATAACATGATAAATTTCTGGAGAATTCATCACGATGCATGGGTTGACTGATTCTCATTTCATTATCTGCCACTGGTGCCCCGCGAATACCGTTAGTGAAGACGGACCATTATATTATCACCCATAAAAATATACAGACACCTACCGCTTTTATACCAGGTTATCTATAAGAGATTGTTTGTAGCGGCTGTGGTAGCGGTAAGATCGTATATGTTTGTTATATTTTATTTTCGGACTACTCTAATGCTGTTGGCCGCAGATAGCCTTTACAGCTTCACCGGACGATAGAGTTGTTATCTGTGCGCAATAGTTAAGTTAAATTAAGACCTAAATCTTGTATGGTACACTTTGCTATTTATTTTTTCCAGGCGTGAAACCATTCTCATGTACGCTCTGTCCGAAGTCCTTCACGAAGAAGCATCATCTTAAGTCTCATCTGAACTTCCATACGGGGGCCAAGCCGTATTCTTGTCCGCGTTGCAAACTTGCGTTTACACAGTCTTCCAACATGAGGACTCATTTCAAGAAATGCAATGCGCATGATCAAATGCCAGAAGCTTCAATGTGATTTAGCTTTTTCATTATCTTACTTTAATATTTTATTAGATATTTGTTTTGTTAAATCTGTTAAATCTGATTTATATTGTATTTTATGTATTTGACAATGAAGTCTATTATTATTTATACTAGAACATATATCAATTATAAAATTCATAACATAGATTTTTTCTCTTTGTTTTCTTACCTTTTGGAAAATTTCAAAATTTAGAATTGTAGTTGACACAGTGAGTAATTGTGTTTTGTTAGTCTTTACTAAGTTTTATGATAATATCGTAGGTATATGATTGATTGTAATTCAATTTTTAAATATAATAAATAATGTGATTAGTATTAATGGCAACTCATGATAAAGGTATGATCCGATATATTTTTTTTAGTTAATTTCACTAATTATCCGTTTGTAGTTAATAGATAATTTGTTTTATAATCAGACGACCCGATCTGTTATAGTTATATCATTTTAAAATTTATGATTTTTAATACCATAATAATACCTAGACTGTTATATAATACCGACATATACCGCGTAATTATTAGTAATTAATGTTCTTATAATGTTTGTAATAACTTCTTATAGGTATATATATACATACATATATTTTAATATAAAATATTTATTTTGTTCTTATACAAAACCAAGTTTTATTTTGTAGTCTTCAGTGCCTCTGATTAATGTTGTTTATTAATGATCAAATTTCGTGGTAGTAACCTATATTGTTTCTTGTCATTTGAAAGGTGGTTCTTGTGGTGCTTAACAGAAAGAGATGCTTTGTAGCATTGATATATGTATAGCATTAAATAATGTATTGATGTTAGGTAAATAAGTTAATCACATTTGGTGTGAAAATAAATCAATAAAACTACGGTATTATATTTTTACTCCTGTTTAATGGATTTGGTGTTGTAAAACAATTTATCGATCGATGTGTACAAAATTACATGCCTTTACAATAGGTAAGTTCTGACGCTTTTTTAATTATAATACTCCATATAGGGTGTATGCGAGTCCATTATATTCATAAACATTAATAGCTGAAGAATATATATAGTGATAATTATGTATAATTATTAATTTGGTGTAACATATCTATGCATGATTGATTTATCTTATGTATTAGACTTTATACAAGATTGATACATTATTAATAACCGATAGTCGATAGATATAAGAGATTTAGAAATATACCGAATGAAATAAATTATCATCGGCAGTATTTACAGACATATAAATAATATTTAAGTACGACTGCGTTTTAATTAAGTGTAGTATCATACAATGAGCAGATCAAATGTGATAATAAAGCAGTAAATTAAAGAAGATTGCTATAAAGGCAGATACAAAATTTTAGTTGACTGCACATACTCATATACGAATACCCTGTTGTTTATTATTTAATTAAAAATAAAAGGAGCACATCAAAAAAAATACCAATTTGATATTTCTTACAAAGAGTAACTTAATATAATAATTATAAGGAATGACGAGAAGACTGTTTGATTGTATTCCTTATGAATATGACTGAGAATAATAATATATATTTTCGAAATTGGCAGTTACGAAAGATTTTAATAAAATTCGAAAATATGCAATAGCTTATTTTGTAGTAGAATATTATTGCATTAGACTTTGGAAGTATTTTTACAAGATAACGGGAATAATCTATGCATGGATTTTAAAGATATGATTTTGAAGTGTGTCTCAAACACCGGTAATTAGCAACAAGTATTACATAATTTCACGAAAGACCATCTTGTTTTTATTAATAAATGTTTTTATTAATAAAAATATTTCACGTAATGCTGTTTTCACGTAGTCTGTTGTTCGAGTATGTATGTATACATTTTCCGTACGTTCTAGCATACACACTCATACATGTGTGACATAACAAAGGCAATTAAAATGTTCTTTATATTCAATAAACAATTGATTCTGAAAAAATATCAATTCTCAATATTCGGTATTAACTTTAAATATGTATGTTATATGTAATAAAATTTGGGCACTACCACATTATTCCATGCTCCAACGTACGGAATAGACCCTTTTATTATAAATAAATATAGATTAAGTATAATTGTTACTGATTGTAATCAGTAGAATGGTACACTCATGAAATTAATAGTTAACTAAATATTGACCTTTTTTATAATAATTGTTTGATGCTTTTTGTATTAACCCTGTACGTTGTATGTAAAATATATTTTTACTATTTTAATATCAATTTATAACAATTATGTGTAATGACATGGAAAGTAGATAACATATATATAATGAATCATTGAATAACTTATACCGGAATTTCTCCATGAATGATAGAAATAAATAAATTATTTGCTTAGAAATTCTTTACTACATGATTTCGCGTTATTCTTAGATTCATTAAAAATAATACATGCAACTGAATAATTAAACGCTACCAAAAATATTTACCTACTTATTATAAAACGTCATCATCGTAGGTAAATTGTACAAAATATTACAATTATAAAATCTTATTAAAAACCGTATGTAAAAATCTTAATCGTACGAGCAATAGAAATATACAAAAAGCTATCGTTTGGTTTTACATCACGAATAAGCTATTATTTACTAAATCCCATCTACAACTGTACGCTCGATACTTACATTTCATGCAAACAATTGCTTTCCAAACAACCTTCATCCGCCGAATATTACACATTATATTTATCTCAGCCTTTTCGATTAGGAGAATTACAATAACATGAAATTTGGAAGAATATTATAAAATATTAACTAGTAGACTCGGTGTAGGTATTAATTATTACAAGTAATAGCCCGTCAGTGCATAATTGCCTGACGTGAACGATTACTACTCTACGATGTGAAGCACCATTTGTTCTAGCGTAGGGGTAATGTACACAATTTGTCAATTTTAATCTAAATATCATTAGAATTAAGTTGTTGCACATATGTGCTTACACTCCAATTATTCATTAGGAACAACGATTTAAATTTCTATACGAACATCTCTTTAGGATAACTTAAAATATATTACCGTGCTTTTGGCACTTATCTCTAAACAGTTAACGTTTCCGAATTTTCTTAGCAGAATAACCTGCATTCAGATTTTGCTGTAGGCAAATAAATATGACCGGTACTAGATTTTGCTTAAATTGCTGTAAAAATAAAAGTGTCATCTTCTGTAAGTACAGTAAGTATGAGGTTTATATGAATGTCTGTCTGTAGACTTTCTTTGGTGACAGTTTAAAAGTATTTTATTCATCATATCCTACTGTCCTTAAGACACTTTTCTCATATTATTTCAATTATTTGTGTGTTGTATAACTTTGTGTAAGTGCATTGTTCACACACACACACACACTACTTGTTGTATTTATTTACACAACGTAATCTTGTCTCCATGTGGCCAACCACACCTACATGATGTAACTATTATACATTAGATATAACAATAACTATCAAATTAAATAAAGTCGATGTCATAAAAATCCTATTTACAATAGAATTCTAAGATTATGTATAAAAATTGAGCATTAATTAATTAACAAGGGCTGCGGAAACCTTAGATATAATATGCAATTTATAATTAATATATAATACATTCTTCTTAATTCATCTAATTTACGCAAGTACTTAGTACTTAAATGGTACTTAATATTATCGCACTTAAAACTTATATTTTACAATTTACAACTTAACGTTCATATCGTAATCTCATAGCCACTTAATACGAGACGAGTCAACACTCGTCTTACGATTGTTTATACACAAAAATCTTTCGCATGATTCAAAGAGTGAAATCATATATTGCGGCGGGGAAACACGTCCGACGAGGCTCTTGGGCGGCAGCAGTGTCACATGACCTCAGGTGCACTCTATAATAAGTGGCTGGCTGGATTCGATAACGCTGGGACGAGATTCAGCCGTTGCCGGACTGTAATGCTGTGATGGTGGTTCGTGATCGGGTGGTGGTGGTAGCGACCGGTACTGAGGCACATGAACTGGCGACAGTTGCCCGTGCCCCGTCACCAAATGCGGCGTCGTCGTGTGCGCGTGTCCACCCAGCATCACTTCGCTGTGTGACATCGCAACACGCGCCCCACCGGCCCCAACCAGCCCTCCTTGCGAAGGAGAGTGTACCTCATATGCCTCGTGCGCCTCTCTCTCGTGGCAGTCTTTGTCGATATTACCTGTAAAGTGCACGCGAAAATGAAATCGGCGCGTTAGGCGAGAGCGCAAGTGAAAGTTGCGGTTCACCTACGAGGAGAAAGTGCAACGAGTTGCAGTTGCGCTCGCGGCTTTGATGGTGTTTAACCATATTCCGAAAAATAAATATTATAAATTGATATAGTAATACGATATTAAAATATAGATTCATATCTGCAAATTTAAATAATGACTGCATGATGGTGATCTGTAATTTATTTCTCGTGATTATTTTGTAACAAAACAGTCAATTTAACAGCAGTTAATTAATATTTTCTGATTATTAAATATGTGCAAAAAAAGTGTTTGAACTTACCAATACATTCAGTGTTGGCAGCGTTTGTAATAGCTAGCACTTCCTCAATATTGTTGGGCTTGCAACTAGTAGTTTTCCAGTGTGTACGAAGTCCAGAAGCGCTTATATATTTTTTATCGCAGCCCTGACAGACGTAAGGTCTATCGTTCGTGTGTAACCTTTTGTGAAGTTTTAAATGAACGAACTGAGTGAACTTTTGCATACATAGATCGCATGCATACGGTTTTTGTCCAGAATGTAGGCGTAAATGCGTCTTTAAATTCGATGTTGATGAAAATCGTTTTTTGCAAATATCACATTGATGGGGTTTCTCTCCTGTATGTACTAGATGGTGTTTCTGTAGATGCGCTAGTTGTGTAAATGATTTATTACACACGTTGCATTTGAATGGTCGTTCACCCGAGTGCGTTCTTAGATGAACTTTCAAATTCGATAATTGTCCAAAAGTTTTACAGCAAACGTTACACTCGTAATGCATTTTGCCATCCTTTTTCTTTAAAGGATAAGGTAGACTCCTGTAACCGCGTGATGCTTGCGAATTCGGACTCATTGGAGCAACCATTAAACCACAAGAGTCATCTGGGCTCATACTACCATGATGTGGCACCAGTTGACCATTTACATTCGAATTTTGTATCAAGCTTAATTGTGAACAATTTTTTAATGTAATTACGCTCGTCGAAGAAGGATAGTGATGATTACTTTGACCATTTTGAGATCTTTCATATTGATGCGATGAAGTTACTGTAGGTGAATAAGTGTTGGGAGGGGACCCTAACTGCGTAATTATGGTAGAATTCGGTGGTGAATAAATATTATAGGAATAATTTGGGTAATGGCTTTCATATCTGGTTTCCCTTATCTCTCGAATTTCTCTTATTTCTCTAATTTCAGTAGTATGGGGAATAGTGTGAGGTGGTGAGGATGAATAAATCGATCCAGTATTTGGCGTGGGTAATTGTTGTGGAAGAGGTAATAAGGAAGGTAAAGGTGCAAGATTTGAACTAGAATCCGGACTACAGGCATTACCGTATCTTTGACTCTTTTTGTAAGAATATGCCATTTCAGTAGGCGACGATGGTGGTGGAGTGGCATTGGGTTGACGTCGGTTTGGATCATTGTTGTTCGTATCTATTCTATTTCCAGTTAATATAGTTTCAAGAATACGTGTATCTGGAGGGGAATATCTCATGAATGCAGGCTGAGGACTTGGTGAAATAGTACCATCTTCGTAATACGGTTTGTTCAATGGTAGTATTGTATTTTGAGATGATTCAAGAACAATAACGGTAGAAGTAGCTGGGTCTCGCCGAGGTGGCGATAAATTCTGTGGTGTAATGTTACAAGCTTCATCAGCTATAATTAATTCTTTTTCGTTTTCACAGTCCATATCTTTATGGTTTTGATATTGATAGGCTCTTGGCATCTTAATTTTTACCTTTCTGTATTCGTTACGATGCATTTCTTGGTCAATTTTTTGGACTATTACCGTCTCTTTAGGCTCGTTTGTTTTATTTGAGCAATCCAAAACATAATTCTCAACATCGGAGTCACTAGAGTCTTCAGGCGGAGTAAAATCATCGTGGTATCCGTTGCTATGATACCCTTCGTCATTAGGTGTTAGTTGATGTTCATAATGCGGTGCACCACAATGAGTGAGACTTGGAGATTTGCGTTCAATTTTATCTTGTTGATTTTGTCCCATGGGAGACGGACCACGATTGTCTCTTAGATGCTGATTTTGGTTTGGTGATCTATTACCATGAACTCTTGTATTTTCTAGTTGATGTATTACTACATGTGATGTACTCTCCTTTTGCTGATGAAGAACTAAAGTTTGATCTCTATGATGATTTTTTAGCGGGGATGGTGGTTGCATTAAACCCATTGGTGATAGTGCTGTTTGTTCATTTATGCTGTGATTTTCAGTTTTGTTATGTATTATACTGGGAGACATCTCATTTTTAATAACTACAAGTCTGTCATTTTTGTTTCTTGGGTCTTCTCGTAGTAATAAAGGCGGATTATCGTTCAATTCGCGTTTTCTCCGACGACTTGGAATTTCAGCTTCTAAAAGTTCCTTGGCGTTTGTAAGCCCTAGAACGTATTTCATATGGTTAAATGCAATTTCGGGGTGCACTGGTGCTGGTGGTAAGCCATATGCTTTCTTTATAGTTTCTTCTTTGCCTGTAAAAATATATGAAAATAAAATAAACACCAAAAGGTAAACAAAAAGTCAGTTAAATGAATTTCAAATACAAATTGTATGCTTACATATTGAATATGTAGCGCGTTCAGGATCTATATCATATCCCAGCCTTGTCGCGAAGTCCTTACAGTACCAGACCATTAGCTCTTCATTAGGCATTATATCCCTGGAATAAACGATTAGATTTAATATAAGTAAATGTTTGAGTGTACCGTCATTTAGCTTTAAAATTGAGGTCAATTATTGAAAGTGAAAAAAGAAAGTGTAAAGTGTTACCTGATCGTGTAAAAGTAAATATGTTCCTGGTGCTGGCAGGCAACCAAATTCATCACGGACAAGGAGTAGGCGGACGCAACGTAGCGCATCCAATTTGCGATGCTTGTATCGGATCCATCCAGGTAATAGTAGTCGCTATCTTTAAATATCTGAAATTAAGTAAAAATTATATGAACTTACCTATTTGTAGATATTAGATACGCTCAGTTTTTTTTTAATTTCAATTATTTTATTTTATTTTCATTTTCATATATAACTAATATTTATACAAAATACAAGTAATTGAAAATATAGATATTGTATCCTAATAACTTATATTTTGTGTTAATTTATGATGCTTTAATAACACAAATAAATTTAGTATTATTATAAAGTACCTTATCATCGTAACGTATAATATAATACAATAGTTATAGAATTTTGAATGAAACATTTAAAAAGAAGATCATCAAAATCATGCAAATGCATCTAATCACATATAAGAAGAGATATTTCCGTTGCTTTTTACATAAAATAATAATACATTTATCTAATATTTTACTAATTATATCTACTACAATAACATTAAATATTAGTATTGTAATACATTTATACGTATGGAGGAACGGAACACGTGGCATGTGCAGGATATTTACAATGCGCGTGCAACTGATAGGCGAGTGCTTCAGCGCGAGAGTCAAGGACAAATGCAATGTCACTGTTAGCATATGTGTATATGAAGATAACATTCTTTGATTAATGCCATAGTTCTAGAAAGATTGGCGAGTCTTGTTAATAGTATATTAGTAGTTAATGTTAAAATGTATGGTAGTACTCATAGCCAAATATTCAAAATTCAATTTTGAATTCAAATTTAAAGATGTTATTTTGGTATTTTTGTTATAATATGTATCTAGTGTTAAATTATACATAGCAAGTAAAATGATATAAATTAATAGATGTCAGTAGGTTAAAAAAAACATTGAATTATTTTTTGCTGATATTTTGACTACCACCTACATATTAAGAATTGAAAGCCTAGTCTCACCTTTATATTTCCGAAAGTATGGTGTCTGACAGTTTCCTGTACCTGGCCCAAAATAGAGAAGAATAGGTTAGTTAGAAAAAAGAATAGTGCTTAAGTTTCAAAAGCATATAATGTTAATTCAATATTCTAGGAATTTTATTTACATTGTATTCTTTCAATTTGAAAGTATGTGTAAGTTGTGTTTTTCTGGTAGTATTTATAAGCGTCTACAAAAGCACAAAGAAAGCAGAATTTAAGTTTTGTAATCAGAAGGGAATCCTTTTTAAATTTTGCTTTTTTTCACTGTGATTGAAAACTAATGGAACAAGCTTACATAGCAAGGTGTATTGCGAAACTGTTTCACCTAGATAGACTAAATTATCACAATACATCAACTACATTTAAATAAAGCGTCTAAACTCACCCTCCAGTAATATCTCCAGGATACTTTGTCATTGGGTTTATTGGGTGTACGGGAGCCTTCAAAGGGTCCAAAACGTGTACCGCGTGGAATGACTCCAATGCTCCAAACTCCTTCCGTCTAGAAAGAAAAAAATATTGAAATGAATAAAAATCTTTTTTGAAAGTAATAAATATATAATTGTTTATTTTATGCACAATTCAGGAATACGTCTAAGAATAGTTTGTTACACTGCTGTGTTTGTATTTGTAAATAGATTATCTATATACAGTAATATATACTTATTATCCTCCACTGATGCTCCGCCCACATATACCGTTAGCAGCGTAGGTAGGTGCCCCATTTGATTATTATTCATTAAAAAGAATGTATTAAGAATATAAAAGAGTACAACAAACCGGAGTATTAGGTGTAGATAACACAGCAGATGGTCTGAGAGTTAGACTGCGAGGGAGTGTTCTTTCTGCCCTGTTCGGGGTGCCTCTTTCACAAGGGACATCAGGCACTATATACACTGTTAGTCTTTCGAATTCCTCTTCTCTCATGCGAGTCACATCATACGTGCCTGCATTGGCTACAGTGCTTATTGTCCCCGTGCCATTGGGGCTGTTAGTGCGCCCCCCCACTGTTGTACTTTGAACTTCCTCGTTCGACTGTTGGAAAATAAAAAATATTAATATAATGCGATGTTTTTTTTTTATTATAGATAACAACTTTTGGTACCATAGTCCTTCAGATTATTAATACATGAGTGAGTTTATAGGCGACGGTTGCCACTTACCATCAGGTGGGCCGTTAGCTTGTTTCCCACTCCAGTTACTTAAAAAAGTACAAATGTATAATATTTTTTAAGGTATATATTTTAACTAGGTTCAAAAAGGAAGAGTTTATTCAACTGTATTTTCGTGTACATGATACACATTTTAGGTAATTCTGGACCGAAACAGTTTTCACCCAATTTGCCCTAAATCATATTTTTATATCATAAAATATACAAATGAAATTGTCATAAAATCTTCTTTTCAATTGTGCCTGTGTAGGTATGTACCTATGAACAAGTGGTATACTGTTCTAAGTTCTGCCGAAAAGAGTTTATTTTGGATATGTAGACGGCGAAAAGTGGCGTTCAATAAAAGGGGCGGTGCTACTACTGACCCAGTTTTGTGATGAGTGCGCACTTTCCACTGCGCAACGACACTTCCCCTTTTATCTATTTATATTTTCTCAAGACTTCATATATCCTTAAATATTAAAGTAGGTATAGAAGATGGTTTAGATTTTGTTTGTTTATACTATATGATGATAAAATACTGAAAACCACCAAAATCTAAGAAACAAGTTATTATTAATAATAACAATGCTTGCAGTATAGTAAATATGTACTTACTAGTCTCATCTTGAAGTATTGTTTTAAGTTTCAGAAGGAAAGATACATCTATTTATTAATTGTTGTATTTGTACCTGTAACAAAATAATATTTACATGGTAGTTATATAATTAAAAAAGATCGTGCGTATGTGTACGTGTTCTAAGAAAAAATATAAATCAAAAAGAAATATGTAAGTATAACAAATATCAACGTCTAATTATAAACGTACCTAAAAGAGCAAATCAAACATTAATGCTCATTTTGCTGTCGATGATGCATTGAGTATTTGCCAATTTGGCAACTTACACATTGAACACGGAATCCTTTAGTATAAGAGGTAGAAAATGGATACAATTTGTAAAATTATTACATTACATGATAACAATCGATTAATTGGTTTGTTTTGGTGGGTAATCTCTTCTCTAAAAATATTATTCGCTGGCTAGGCTTTGTATTGGCTTTGTATTGCGCATTTTTCTAGTGGCGGCGCGGCCGTGCATTCGTACTTAAGTTTTCTAGTCGCCTCGAATGACATGCTGACTACTTTGTGTGTTCTCGCGTTCACAACACGTGATAAGTATATATTCTTAATTAATAATTATATTTTATATGTCAAGATTGATATATTTAGTAGAATAATTTTATCAAGACTATCATAGTATAAACTAGAACTATACCTACCATATTTATAAATTATTATAAATTATCTAATCATTTTGAAAACGAAAGGCATTAAAATACAAACGAGGAGTAATAGATCTTTGTTTGTTTGACAAAGAATGAAATACTTCTACATGAGGCAATAGTTATGTTAAACATTTCATTGCATAATTGCGGAAGTCATGGAGTAGCGGCCGACGACTCCGCTTCATGGGAATAAAAAAATATTTTCCAAACCGGCACCATATTTGACATTCAAATACTTGCGCAAGCGCCGCGCGCGCAGTCTTAGACGCGTGTTTTATTGTAAACACCATACGTTGCATTCGTAATCGTGTCAACTTCTTTTGAATTTTGTATCCATGGTAACATATAAGCTAATAACAGACAGCATATTATATTGTACAATTAGGAGGTAACAATATATCATGATTTAACTAAGTAGTACATAATATAGTTGGTATTTATACACCTTACCTTAGGCAAATACGTTAAAATATATACTAAAAATATCTAATTTAATATGGAAACATCGCATTGTATTGGTAGACCAAAGTACATAATAATTCTGTGTTAATTATTTAACTCTAATTATATTTATTACAGTATAATTAATAAAAATTATAATTCCAAACAAAAGTAACCAAAAACTTATGTACTCCTGTATGTAAATAGAATTATTTTCGATTTACGAGTATGTAACTTTTACTTTTACATAATAAACAACAAAAGTTCGTTGTATTTATAGTAGTCACTATTACTATGTAATATTGCAGTTAATTGTGCACTTAAGGTCATTTGACGTATGTAATTGTATGGCAGTACAGCGACTTAGTTTACAAAAATATAACAAATTCTAGTAATTTACATAAGTCATAGTATAGTATAATTTATCTGTATATCTCTTACTATCTTATCTATTATTCTCGTCAACTAGCAATTTTATTTCCATCACAAGAGTAAGCATTCTGAATTTTACTAGGGGGATCTGCCAGTTGACTAAACAGTGAACTTTTGGATTTCAGTATTCGAATTTAAATTGGACCATAGCTAGTTAATACTGCTTCGCCGGTTTGTTCGATAGTGGCCATTAAATTTTTCTAAATCTAATTAATTTTTTAATGGCAACTACAACTATAAATTCAGTGATATTCATAGTTCTATAAATAATACAATTACAAAATTCGAAAACTGTCTAGACATATTCAATATATTGATAAGTTGTGGACTAAGTGCAACAATTCGAAGTTAGACGTGTGAACACACCCTTAATAAATCTAAATTGCATAAAGGGGCATGTTTACAAGTAGCGCGGGGAAAGGCGAGGGGCTCCGCACGTGATCGAGACTGTTGCGCAATGCGTCTGCGCATGTCACTTGATACACGCGACTTGGTCTATATTATTATGCCGACTGCTGATGACGTCCTCTCACTTAATTATAAGTTAAGAGAGTATATGAAATTATACTTAAATTATATTTTTATATTAGAGAAGTAGTTAGGGGCCAAATAATTCACAACAAAATGCGCGTTAGTCATTTTTTAAATTACAATCTATATTTTTAACATAATATAGAAAAAAATTACAACTTTAAAATAAATATATAAATATATATATATATGTGCGATTTCATTATGTTTTTATCACATAGATACTGTAATTATATTAAGTTATGTAAAAATTAGAGGTCTTCCTTAATTGGATAATCCCATAGACGTTTCCTATTTATCCATAACCAATAAATAATCCAAAATGTTTTTGGCAGATGCTGCGGTCTAGTACCTACATATATATGCAAAATAAAATGTATACATTTCCGAATAAATAATTATATCAATATGAAATACTATTTCTATAATTATCTCAATGAAATGACGAAATTTAAATATTAATTATTGTATCTTGTACCTATTTATTCAATTTTATCGGTATGCAGTTCGATACATAATTACATATATAACTCCATTTTTCTTTTATTGTACATACACTGCCCTTTTCATAATGCTTTCATTGATTGAAGTTTTGATTTTTTTAAAGAGAAAGTTTAGCGCAACTGAAAATGAGTGGGATAGAGTTATTTATGCAGACGACTTTTTGTAAAGTTTATCATCGAAAAGTAAAATATCTTTGTATTTGAACGCAGCACGTCGCATACGTTTTATAATATGACTGCACATCGCAACGGCGCCCGCGCGCATCAGGAAGCAACCTTGGCGTTTGCGCTTGAACTTGCCCTGTTGCATAAACAGTCGCTCGCTATTGACGTTTTCTTATGTGTACATATCTATATGTTAGTACATCTGATAACAATATTATTTATATATTAGTCACAAAGTTTTATTAAAGCAATTAAAGTAAGAGTATTTATTACTAGTTACCAAATACATTATAATTGGAATCACTTTGTTTAAATAAATACCACAAACGCAATATTTACATAATAAAAAATAAAAATTGCAAGTTTCTAGTTTTAGGATGTATGTGTGTAGAGCATTCAGTCAGTCACGTTAATTGGTGTTTCTACTGAATAATGATTAATAAAACTTATTTCAATATGTTGAGTTATTGTATATATATATATTATGTACGTTGCGTGCGCTGCGCGAACGAAGTCGCGAGCACAGCTAGAATTTTATAAAATACTAATATTACTGAGAAATCAAGCAATCTCCAGCGGATATTTATGGAACAATATAATACAGAAATTGGTCGACCTGCCCTCGTCAGCTAATTAAGGTACAACCAAATGCTACTAACGAATAAAATAAATGAATACATTTACAATCACGTATAATAGTTGTATTGTATATGTAACAAATATAATTATAAAGAACAATCTTATGTATCACCCTATATGATATGTATTCTGTTAGTTGTAACTTTCCAATAATTAATTATTCTTTAAAATCAGCCAATATATTTGTTACAATATATATATTTTTATGTCATAGTAGTTGTTTATAACTATGCGTCTCATCTTATGGCAAAAGTTTAGAATGCTTTTAGTTGTAGTTCTTTAGTTGCAATGTTTTAAATTGTATGATTCACCTCAAACAGTATATAGTATATATAGTTGGAGGAAATAGAAATAGTAATATCTTTATACAAAATGAATAACCTTTTCACCGCTGGACTAGGCGATTGTTACTAAGGATTAGTGGCCATGGCCATGGCTAGTACGTTATCAGATTAAATGGAAACCATCTTGGTTAATTCGTGTCAAAATTTACTATCATGGCTGACCTGACTTCATTCTATGTTCATCTTCCAGTAGTACTCTGTTAACATATAGATACTGTTACGCAGGTTGTTGCCCCATTTCATATTTGACTAATAATAAAAAAATCCGCCGATAGATAGAATGGACTATTTTTATTAGTAAAAGTATAATATATTGTTACCTGTTCATACATGTATTTCCGGTTTGTACTAAATTTTAAGCGCTAAATAATATGTTTTGTGAGCCAAGAAATGCAAGGCCGAATATCAAAATCTGTCGTATACAATATATATGGAATTACCGGGTAGATATGATATAGGTATGCACACGTTACATATAAAATTAAAGCCCATGCTCAAATACGACGGGGAAACCTTGACGTCTAATAATAATTAGGTAGGTACATGTTTCCACTAGAAGTAGACGTGGATATTGGCTAAATAAGGGTTACACATTTGTTCTTAATATATATTTATTGTTATGAGAGAGTTATTTTTACTAGTATAGCGTCTACAGCCACATTGGCCATTTTGATATTCCTTAGAGCAATATATTCTTAGTGCTCGTTTCAGGAACTAATTCTTTGTATAATTTAATTGTTTAAAGTTATCGATTTAGGCTCTGCATTGTTCTGTTATTTTCATTAAGTAATATTTATTGACAGCCTCATTTGTATTTGATGTTTATTATTAATGAAAACTGCGTGTTTAAATAGCGTTGGTATATGTAAATTGGAAATATTTTTTAGCATATTAAATTGTAATAAGCAAATTGTTTGATCAACGGACAAATATCACAAATGATTGTTGTTAATACCTGAATGTAATTTTAAAATGGCAGATAGAGATAGATAGATAAATATTTTATTTGCCTCTTCAGCAAGTACTAAATTAATTGTGTCTTACATAACAATTGTATTTTTTTTTTCAAATATCTAAATAAAAAAATCCATATAAAGTGTATAAGATATAATTTAAAAAGTAACTTAGTATACTCACAAGAAATATTCAATTTTCATGTAATTCTTCCGGCATTATATTTTGATGCTCAAATAAAATTTATTTTTGAGCATATTGTCTTTAATAATATGTTGAATAACTAAAAGAACTGCAATTGTCTACGATGGAAGAGCGACGTCAAGCGACTTGAGGTACTCGAGGAGTATACGGAGCGCCAGCAGCGGAACGAGAGGCCGTAGCCGACGAGCCGCT